CTATGTTCCTTTATGATATTTTGATAATTTTGTGTATCATGTTATATTGTACTGTACTTGTGTGATTACTGTAAAAAGGAAATCTTATTTTAAGGAAGAAAGAGTCTTATTTAAGGTTGCAACATTTTTGAGACACTCTTTATTGATTTTCAGAATAGACTTTTAATGCTGATTTTTATTTAATTTAAATGTGATTTATCTAGAAAAATCATTAGCCTTCGGCTGAATTTAAGACAGTGGCTGCGTTAAATTAATAAATCTATAACTAAATCTAAATTTCACGTTCTTCGTAAAATTGAACTTTATTTCATATTTATTTATATTAAAATTATTTTCGCAGAAATTAAATTTTAAATTACGACTAAATTTTATTGTCAAGATTCAATTAATCTCTGCCTTGTCTTAATATAAGATTTAATTTTTACTGTCGTGTACTCTTTACAGATTTCTATAAAAATGTCGTTAGCAATATTTTCTAAAAATATTTCTTTTGCTGGTAGTTTTTTAAAATTTTGTTACTTATTTTATTTTTTTTTAACTTATGTATTGCTGGAGAAGATACAAAATTCGTACATTTTTTTTCCTTACTCTCAACTGTTAAAACTTTTAACTCTTACAAATTTTTTTATTTATATAAATTATTTATTGAATTATAATTCTGTAAAGAATACACACCTATAGTTGGGAATTTAAATAAAACTATTTAAATTTTCAACTTCCTTTTTACTGTTTACTGTAGATGTCCTAGTTGAAGTCCACTAAAACCAGTTTTTGGTTTTTATTTCAACAATACATCATCATGTTGAATATTAATAGAAGAGAATCGTTAAATATTCTCTTATTTTCGAACCAATCAACTATTTAAAAATAGTTGCAAGAGATAAAATATTATGTCTCATTGTTCAGAAATATTTATTTTCTATTTGTAACAATCGATATAGAACAAAAATTTAAAATATCCATTAAAATAAATAATAACATTTTAAATGAATAAAAAAATAATAGTTTGACAATTTCTTTTTAGTGAAAATTCTACTTTTAAAACAATTTTCGCATTTACTTTATTGAATTAATTCTACAAATTATAAAAAATAATTATTATAGTTTTCAATTTACTTGGGAGTTCTCAAAAAAAAATTATTTATAATTTTGACGGGTTTTATAATTGATATAAACATATTTTTTTATCTAAGAAACTTCTTTATTTTTAAATAAATTAAACAATTTATTTCTTAAATCTAATATCTTTTTGCATTGTTAGAAAAAGTATTAGTTACAATAAACTTTTATATCAATACAAACTCGTCTATCTCTGCATTTCGTAAAATGGAGTACGTCAATTATTTTACGTAAATTTTTATACAAAATACAATTCACATCACTTTACAAATTTGAGAAATAACGAAAGAAAAATTAATTTTCAATTATATAGAGCAATCTGATAATAGAAAATAATTTTATTTGTTTTTCACTTCGTTCTAATTATCTCTAAACGATTGAATAGAGTGGATTTGTTCCAAATATAAACAAATTTACTATAATTAAATGAATTAAATACATGAATTTTTATATAAAAATTACATAAATTGTGGAATAAACAAAAATTTTTGAGAAGTCTTATTAGAGTCAAATTAGAAGAACAAAAAAAATTACAACAAATTGAATATTGTCTGTAACTCTGAAATTGAAGAAAAAAGTAGCTAAACTTAAATTTGATTACGTTTTACAAAGCATTTCAATTTTTCCACTTAAGAGTTTATGCTGCATTGACATTTTCTCGCCAATTAGAGGTATTTCATAAAGAACATTTTGAAGAAACTTCCATAAATCATCGACATAGGGGGGATAATCGCGATCGAAGACGTAAAATACTTTAAAATTTAAATCAACTGCTTCAAGAAATGATTTTGTCGTATACACAATATCGTCCACTATCACATGAAATGATTCGATATTCAATAAGGGCCCAACAATTGCCACTATCGGTTCGAATGGCAATTCTTTCTGTTGCAAATAATCCTTCAATTTTTCTACTGACGAATGCAACTCATCCTTATTCTATAGACAAAAGCAAAAACAATTTGCGTTAGTAAATGACATTTTCTTACCCAATGTTCTGAAATATTTATTTTCTTACATTGACAATGAAAAACACTTAATTTGAAATAAACAATTTTTCGCAATTTAAATAATCAAATGAATAATAAAATTCTACCTGAACGTGTAAAAGATAGGACTGTCGCTTTTCGTCACTGGTTAGTTTACGAAGTGTTTCGATGTCTATATAGATTTTAGTTTTCTTTTTTCGTTTACATTGCACATTTGTCGTGATGTAATGCAAGAGATAAAAAATTATAATGTCTTGTTGTTCTGAAATATTTATTTTCTATTAGTAACAATCAACATACACCCAGAGAAAAATTTTATTTAAACCAAATTCCAAATATAAATTGAGTTAAATAAAAGTACATTTGTCTTAGAGCCAACTATTAGGTTATTTATTTGTTTTAAATACAAATTTTATTAGTCATAAATAAAGCTTTTGTTTGAACCAAATAAAATTTTATTTTACAAAATAAAATTTAGTTGAAACAAATAAAAAGTCTAGTTGGCTCTGAGTAAAATATATTAATTATATTATACCTATTAATTGAAATTTCAACTAAATAATACAAAAAAATTAAATTTTAATTTCGAAAATAATTATTATTTATTTAGTTTTTTACCAGAACTCATGGATTTTAGTAGAGCAATATAATTAAATTCATTGTGAGTAACTCCCTTCGTCTCATGCCTCAAAACGTTCATTAGATGTTCTCTAATTTTCGGCCACTTATCAAACAATTTGTGTTTTTTGTCATTGTACTTGTCATCAAAGTCCAAATGAATCTAGAAATAAAAACACAAATTTGAGACACTTTTCTAATTATTCTATTGGTTATATTAAGTATCATTAAATTTTTTATTAAAAATATTTACCAAAATTTGCCCTGGCTCGTCAAGTCTTAGCGCTTTTACGCTCATTAAATTTTCCGAAATACTTATATTTTTCCATTTTGTAATATTTCTTCTTAAATTTCGTGTTTTTATAAAAATCTCCTTCACATCGTCGAAAGGCTCAGTATTATTTACAAGATATTCGAGATCTCTTTCTTGCGATTCATCTATATTGAAAGAATATGCATCTAAATTATTCACATCATAATTTAGATTGCCCTCCTCTGATTGATCTATATGTTTTAAAAATTAGCTACTTTACTTTTTTTAAATACATATTTAGATTATTACACAAACTCAAGTAATAAATTTATAAAAATTAAAATTGCTGTATCCAACAGAAGAATTTTTATAATTTTTTTATTATTTAATTATTAGGAAAATTAACTTAAATATTATTATCGCAAATTAAATTCAGGATTGCCACAGGTCAGGGAAGTCAGGGAATTTTATTAAAAGTACTGGAAAAAATTGAATTTTTAAAATTTATGAGAAAACTTTGAATTTTTATGTTTTTTTATTTGCCTCGTAAACTATGAATTTACCACGAATTTTAATACAAAACATTCAATTTTTTCTATTTTTGACAATAATTTCTTTTTAAATAACTTAATTTTTTAAGAACTATCATAAAATTATGACTAATAAATTATTTAATGAATAATTTTTACAATTTTCATAAATACTAGATTGATAGAAGAATTTTAGTTAAAAATACTAAATGAATTACCGAATAATCGATTTATTATTTATGAAAATAAATAATTATTAATTATTATATTAATTATTATATTATATTAATTAATTACATTTTTTTTAATAATTGAATTTTTTTGAGAAATTTTACTACTTGTAAAAATAATTGAATTCTTGCGAAGGATTTTATTAGGATTTTTGTCAATTTTTAACTTTTTTTTTTTAAATTTTATGGTAATTTAAATTATTACAAAACATGAAGAAAGCGATCACTCCGAGTCGGAGTGATCGCTTTCTTCATGTTTTGAGAATTTTAATTCCTACAGAAAAATAATAATAATTAAATATTTATTTAAAAAAGAAGGTATTGATGTTTTTGAATAATTTTATAATTAAAGAAATTTGTAAATAAATGTAATAGAACATTTTTTTGAGTATCTAATAATTTTCAGAGTGAATCAGAATATTCTTTAGGGTCAGGAAAAAAGTGAATATTTTGTCTGGAAATCAGGGAGAAGTCAAGGAAAAATAAAATTATATATTTTTGTGGCAACCCTGTAAATTAATTTTGAATCTTTAGGATTATTTGATTAAAACCCTAAATGCAACTTACCAAGAATTCCAGTTTGTTGATTTTCATTTTTTCTTCTACGTTTCATATTTACTGCTAGAATGCCTTGTTCCCTCATTACACGTTTTACGTAATAAAAATGATCCAATAATTTTCCAGTTGCCAACACTTTTACTTTACTTTCCTTGCGAAAGGGTGAATAAAAGACTTCTTTTATTTCCGATTTGAATAAATCTTCAACATCCTGCGCCACTTTTATCCAGCGCGATGAAGGAACACTGTAAAAATTATTAAAAATTAATCGTTCTTTTCTTTCTATTATAATTGGAAAAAATGCGAACATTTTATTTGCCACGTAAATTGAATTTGAATAAAATAATTAATTAATTCAAAAATACATTGATTAATTTTGGAATTTTTGTTAAATGAATTATTAGTTAAAATCTTCGAATTACATACGTAGTGATGCAATTTGATAAATATAATGAAATCACAGACAACACGATTGTCGAGATCTCGTCACGCTTCCTTTTCGAATTTTATTTCTAAATGAACACATTAAATTGAATTATTTGGTTTATTATTTTTATAATATTATATAATTCTGTATAAATAATATGATATATTATTTATATAATAATAATAATAATATTAATACATTAATAAATAATAAATAAATAATAAACATTATAATCACGTTTTGATTTTTACTGTAAGAGAAAAATGGTTCTTTGAATTGTAGAAAAATGTATTTTTATTTTATTAACAAAAAGGCCAATTTAATTGTACAGAACATGTTAAACTTATTAAATACAAATTTATAATACTTTTTAATAAAAAGGAAAAAATGAACACTTGACTATAACGTAGAATTTATTTTCTGTGCAAGAGAACAATTGATCCATGAGTTAACACCAATTAAACATCTGAATGATTTTTCTGTAAGGCGGTGACGATAATTTCTAACTGCCAATGAATTTTGCGGAAAACATTGTTCTAGCGGTACGGATGATGCCGAAATGGGTAAAAAATCACGAGCCATTCGTGACAAATTGGGATATTTTTCTGCATACAATCTCCACCATTTTAGAATATCGACTGACGCATTGGCTCGCTCTTCTTCGAGGTACAAATTTAATTCCTTTTGCCAATCATTATTCGTTGGCGGCGTTGAGGTTTTTCCGTTTCCTTCGTATAAGACAAAAATGTCTAAATCCTCATCGTCTTCGATTTTACATTCCATTTGATTGGCGATTTCGACAGAGAGAGGATCGACCTACATAGTTTTAGAATGAAATGGTTAGAATTTATTTATATATAATAGATTATTAAATTATTATTCTTTTCTTTAACTAAATTTTTTTCATTTGTTTTATTTTTTTTTTTAAAAGAAATATTTTTACTTGAACTGAAAAAGCGACTTTATTTAAATTGTAAAAACTATTTTTAAATCAATAAATGTACCAATTTTGTACCAATTTTGGTACAAAATCGTATAATTTGGTTCTATTTTAATACCGAAATTAGCTCTAATTTAGCACTTTTTTTATAGTGTAGTGAGGAAAAGTTATCAAATAAAATTACTTTTCGTTTTGATGAAATTTGAGTTTTCTTAGTTACGTTATCAGGGTTGCCACAAGTCAGGGAACTCAGGGAAATTAGAATTGGTCAGGAAAATCAGGGAAAAATCAGAGATTTTTATTAAAAGTACTGGAAAAAATTAAATTTTTAGAATTTATAAGAACATTCTGAATTTTTGTGTTTTTTGTTTAATAAAATTATTCTTGTCAAAATTTCAAAAATTTTCCTCACTTCAATTATTTTTTATCTCAACAATTTAAATAAAATTTTAAAAAAGAATTCTATTATTTAAACAAAATTTTAATAAAAATTTCACAGGAATTCAAATGCATACCAATTTTCTATATATTTCTTCGCACCAATATTCAATAATTTTTAATTTTTTAATGAATTTTCTCCAAAGAATTGAAATATATTCAGAGAAATGAAAAAAATAGTTCTGAGAAATTCAATTATTTCGAAAAATTTAAATAAAATTCTTTTAAAATTCTATTATTCAAAAAAAATGTTGACAAAATTCTTTACAAGATTTAGTTAATAAACTTGCAATTTTAATAAAATTTCCCTATACAATTCAATTATTTTCAATACAATTCTTCTTGAGAATTCAATTTTTTCACAAATAATACATTTTTTTTTATGGAAATTCAATTATTTAAAAAAAATTTGAATAAAATTATTTGCTAGAAATAAATTATTTTTATAAATAATAAAATTTTTCTTGAGAATTCAATTATTTAAAAAAATTTTGATCAAATGATTTATAAATTTGATAAATTATAATACAATTGGTCGTAGAATAAAATTATTTTCGTAAAATATAAAATTCTTCCTAGGAATACAATTATTGTCAAAAACGTTTGTAAGAATCTTGGAACGAATTCAATTATTTTCGTAAAAAATAAAATTCTTCAAAGCAATTCAATTATTTAAGAAATTTTAATAAAATTCTTCCCAAGAATTCGATTCTTTGCAAAAATAAACATTATCACAGGAATTCAATTATTTAAAAAAGAATTTTTTCAATTCTTTGTCAGATTTCAATTATTTTCAATTTTTTAATAAAATTTCTCGATGAAATTTAATTATTTTCAAAAAGTTTTAAAAAATTCCGAGAAATTCAATTATTTAAAAAAATTTAAATAAAATTCTTCCCAAGAAATTAATTATTTTCATGAATAATATTTTTCTCCGGAATTCAATTATTTTTACAAATAAAATTCTTTACAGGAATTGAATTCTTTAAAAAAATTTTTTAATAAAATTCGTTGCAAGAATTCAATAATTTTCATAAATAACAAAACTTATCGCGGAATTTCAATTATTCTTTATACAATTTTAAATATAATGATAGAAAATTGCATTTACACTTAACATTTTTTTATTTTAAATTCACCGAAAAAATTCAATCCCACATAGCACCATAGTATGAGGTAAGGTTATGTTGAGTACTAATCGTAAGGCACATAAGGTTACACAATATTGCTGCGGTAGACCTGAGGTGAACTAAAAACTTCCGCCATGGAGGTAAGGTTACATGTTAGGGTGTGGTGAGTATATATGATAAGGCCATGGTAACCTTACACGTTAAGGTTAAGGTAACCTTACACGTTAAGGTTGATGTAACCTTACACGTTAAGGTTGAGGTAACGTTACATGTTAAGGTTGAGGTAAGGTTACATGTCAAGGTTGAGGTAAGGTAATTATTAAGTTGTAAGGTTGAGGTAAGGTTAAGGTAAGGTTGTGATAAATTTACCAGTTATGGAAAATATTAAAAAAATAATTAATAAATAAATATTCAATTAAAAAGTTAGTTTGTTGCTCTTCTCTATTTTGGAAACCTGACATGAAGCAGAAAATTTTGAAAACAAATTTGGGGGGACTGGGATTCGAACCCGGGATCGACGCGCATAAACCTATCATTCTAACTAACTGAGCTAAGTAGAGAACTGGCAGAAGGAAAATTAATGTTGCCTTTAAGGTGAACCAAGAAGATGATTAACTCCTTAAAGGCAATATTAATTTTCCTTCTACCAGTTCTCTACTTAGCTCAGTTAGTTAGAATGATAGGTTTATGCGCGTCGATCCCGGGTTCAAATCCCAGTCCCCCCAAATTTGTTTTCAAAATTTTCTGCTTCATGTCAGGTTTCCAAAATAGAGAGGAGCAACAAACTAACTTTTTAATTGAATATTTATTTATTAATTATTTTTTCAATATTTTCCATAACTGGTAAATTTATCACAACCTTACCTTAGCCTTACCTCAACCTTACAACTTAATAATTACCTTACCTCAACCTTGACATGTAACCTTACCTCAACCTTAACATGTAACGTTACCTCAACCTTAACGTGTAAGGTTACATCAACATTAACGTGTAAGGTTACCTTAACCTTAACGTGTAAGGTTACCATGGCCTTATCATATATACTCACCACACCCTAACATGTAACCTTACCTCCATGGCGGAAGTTTTTAGTTCACCTCAGGTCTACCGCAGCAATATTGTGTAACCTTATGTGCCTTACGATTAGTACTCAACATAACCTTACCTCATACTATTGTGCTATGTGGGATTATTTAAAAAAATTTTTATAAAATTCTTTATAAAAATTGAATTTTAAGAAATATTCAATTATTAAATAAATTATTTATTTTTGTATGTAAATAATTGAATTCTCAAAAAAATTTCTAACAAAAATTTATTAAAAAATGAATTTCAAGTAAAATTTTAGATAATAATTTAATATTAGAAGAGTTATTGTGTAAATTTTTATAAATAATTGAATTTTGAAGAGAATTCAAATAAAAATCTTTAAAAATTTGAATTTATAATTACAATATTTTTATGATATAAAATAATGATTTTATCACTCTGTCATCTTAAATTTTTTATAAAATATCATTCCGAGTCGAAGACTCGTAGTGACCGATTTCCTCATGTTTTATAATAATATTTTCATACGTTATTGAATTTGAGAATCTTAATTCCTATAGAGAAATAATAATGATTAAATATTTATATAAAAAAGAAGTTATTGATGTTCTTCAGGGTTAGGGAAAAAATGAAAATTTTGACTGGAAATCAAGGAAAAATAAAATTAAAGTTTTGTGGCAACCCTGGTGATTTTTATGGAAATTTTGTTGTTTATTAAAATTTATTTACCAGTGTTGTTGATTGAGGTGCTTTGAAGTATTGAGTTTTAAAGATATTTTTAAAAACTTCAAATGACGAGGCTTTTATTTCTTTTCCCCAATTAGTTGCGTCAAATGACTCTAGTTTATAACGTGGATCTAAAATTAACACGACACAATAGACCCAATTTGTTTTGTCATAATATTTTAATAAACTTTCTATTCCAGTTTCCAATGCCGTTTTGACATTTTCTTCCTCTTTTGATCGTACTTTTTCCTTTAAGTAACTAATTGAGACTTCTAGTTTATAAATTAAGGTATGAAATCCAACGATGAAGAAATTAAGTGTTGGATACATTTTTCCATCTAGAGTTTTTGAAAACACTCTGAAGTAACGCAAATATTTATTAACTTCCTGCATGAGATTCCATTCGTTATCAGAGAGAATTAATTTGTTCAGAAGAATATTATTATTCCCACAAAGTAAAATTAATGCTTGTTGCATTCGCGATGCTACATTAATCATAGCACACGTAGCGCTCCATCGCATTTTTAAATCGATATTTGTCGATAATCTTTTAATACCACAATTATCGCAACACTTTTGAAGTTTAGTTTTCCATTGTTTGGATGATTTTAACAATTTGAATAGATATCTTAATTTTGATAGTGGAGATGTGTGAGTTGTTGTTTCAATATCGGATAAAATTATGTTTACTTTGTCATCATTTGTTACTTCGTCGTCGTCATCATCATCTTCTTCGTCTTTATTTGTAAAATTATCCTCGTCATCGTTTGTTTCAAATCCTAATTTTTTCATCATTTCCTGAATCGAAAAGTTTAGAATGTTTGGATAACATGGAAAATGTTGACTTTTAGAGTCGAATGTCATTAAATTTTCTAATTCTCTTATAAAATAAAAATTCGCATTCGTGTTCATTAAAGTTAGTCCTAGAAATTGATCACTAATTTGAAATTTTTCAATAGTGTCATGAAACGATTGTGCTGTCTCCTTTGGAACGAAATCAATAAAAATTGACTGTAATTCCCAATTGTCGTCGATAAAATGACAAGTGATTTTCGTAAAACTTTTTTTTCTAATTTTAAACGAACCATCTAAACTGAACGATAATTTCGAATTATTGCTCTGTAAAATTAGTTTAATGTTATTTTGCATTTTTTCGAATCTATCTAATACCATCGTTGTCATTTTATTTTCCGTGGGAATTTCAACTGTTGGATTTAAATGTTGAAATAATTCTCTAGTTCCCTCGTCATCGAAAAAGTTCATGGGTAAATATTTTTTTGATGCCCAATCAACTATTCTATCCTCAAATAATTTTTGTTCCAAAATCTGCAAAATTTTATACAATATTATTTTTACTGCTACTACTATTATTTTTATTATAGACTGAAAAATTTCTAGTCTTTAGAAAATTTACCAACAAACTTATTTAATAATAATCAAATATCTTTGTTAGTTTATTAGAAAAGTGGTTGTAAAAAAACAAAAAAAAATTTTTTTACACGGAAAGACATTGTATGTTGAAAAACGATAAAAATGGTAGCTTAATTTAATATTTTTCTATATTAAAACAGAGGTTTTTTGAAAGTATCAAATTGATACTAAAGTGTAGCAAATTGATGTCTAAAATTTGGATTAACTTTTGATTTGATTTACATTTTTGGTGTCAATTCGTTGCAATTTGATACTTTTAAATTAACATTGAGTTGGGCTATTCAAAGTAAAAATTTAAAACAATTATAGTCTTTGTTAAATACATATGTAAATTAATATTCAGACTTTCTAAAATTAAAAATACTTTATTCATATTTAAAAAAAATAACGATAAAATATACATATTTTATCGCACATTACGTCACCTGCTAAATTAAAGTAAATCGTTTGTTTACCTGTAGGAAGTTTTAAGGTGATACCTGTAGTTTGTAAAAATATTATTTTTTCTATTACTTTTTCTAGATATACACTGAAAAAAAATTTATTTGAGTCAAATAAAAATTATTTGACTTAATTAAATGGTTTACTTGTAAATAAATATTTACTGAACCTAAATATTTTATTTTATCGTATATAAAATAAACAGTTACTTTAGTCGAATATTGATTAGGTATTATTTCTGTTTAATAAGTTCATTTATTAGATTCAATTAATTATTTACTTGATTCAATTATCATTTATTTGGTTCAAATTAATGTAATTCGAATAAATTCAAGTTATTTGAATCACTTTTTAGATCCAAATAAAAATTAGTTTAATCAAGTAAATATTCTTCAAATAATTTGAATTAAATAAATCAAATAAATTCTTTTTCAGTGTATGAAGATATCGGTAAAAATTCGTCGGGAATTATATTATATGTTTAGAATTGCAGGCCTCTGATATTATGACTTTTTTCGACTATTTTCCAAAAATGCAACTTTTTTCGACTTATTTCCAAAAATTGCGACTTTTTCGACTTTTCTTCCAAATATTGCAACAAAATACCACAATTTTAGTATAAATTGCAAATTATTTCGATTTTTCTAGTGTGAAAAATAACTACAGACAAATCTTTTAAAAATTATTTTTCAATAATTTTTCTAATTAAATTTTCGAAATATACAATTAAAGAGATTTGGAATAATTGAAATTTTGTAAAATTTAATTGAAAATAATTGATTTCGTTCAAGTATTATTATTACAATTTTTGGAAATCAACTTTTGAAGAAATTTAATTGCAAATTTTAGAAAAATAATTGAATTCTCAAAAAATTTAATGAAAAATCTTCAAGTGAAAAGTTATAAAAATGAAAATTAATGAAAACTAGGTTCTAAAAAATAATATTAAAATTTTTTTCATTATAAATTTTTAAAATTCAATTATTTTCAAAAATATAATTCCGAAAATTCAAATACATAGGTACAAAAATAATACAAACATTAATATTTTTTAGAATTATTTTTAACATTTTGGAGAAAACAACCATTGTGAAAATTTCTAATTAAAATTCTTCAAAAAATTACTTAGTTTTTTTTAAAATTATACAAAAATTGTCTTAAGAAATTCAATTATATAATACCAAATATTTTTAAAACACTAATTCTTAGAATTGTTTTATCATAATTTTTTAAGATTTATTTATCTACGAATAAAGTAAATTACATTTTTTTTAAATTTACTTCTTTAGATTCTTATTAAAATTTCGGAAAAATCATGTTTACATTTATAATTAAAATTCTTGAATAAGTTCATTATTTATTTTATATTTTTCAAAAATTCAATTATTTTTAAAAGATTTTGTCAAATTTCAATTATTTTTAAACGATTTTACCAAAATTCAATTGTTTAGAAATTTTCTAATTATATATTATTGAAAATCTATTATCTTTTTTGGGTCTTAAAGTTAATCCGAGACCTGGAATTGTTTTTTTCAAAAAGTAATTCATCTTCATCAGTAGTTGAAAATGTACAGTCAAACAAATTTTCGGAAAATTCATTCCATTCAAAAATAGAACTAACATGAACATTCGCCTGTAGGATTTTAAAAATTTTTCGTTAATGTTATAGTATATTTCATTTGCCAACATAATCAAAATGTTAAGTTTTACATGTTTAATAAAAATCAAATTATATTAAAAATTTTCGTCTCGTTGAATTATAAAGAAATTATTTTGAAAAAATGTCTACTGCTCAGGATTTTTTAAAGCCTCTTCTATTAATCCGACAAGTTCCTTAATCGATTTATTCGATTTGTCATCAGGAATATCGAACCCAGCGACTTGAATGAATTGCCACAATCTGTAGGTAACTTTTGGAAAGGTACAATTGAACGAAAAAAATGTTTTAAAAGCAAAGTCAAACGCACTTATAATCGAATCACACTTGTACTTTTCGTTATTTAAAATAACGTAAGCTTCCGATATTGCCGATAATTCACCAATAATGAAGACAGTTGGTAGCAAAATTTCTCCTCTTGCTAAACACTTATTTTTTAAGGATTCAATCTCCTTCTCCAAATCCTCAATTTTCTGTAAAATATTTATTACATTTAATTTTAAAAGTAATTATTCTAATGATTATTTTTATTTTGCATTCATAATTTAACCAACCTTTACATTATAAATGAATGACTCTCGGATTTCACATGAATCGTATTTTTTAAATTCCTCTGAAGTTCCATCTCTTTTTCTTCTTCCTATTGAAGAATTACAATTAACTAAAAGTTGTAACAAGTGAAGGACAATCGCGTCTTGTTGATCTGAAAGAAAGGAATTTTATGTAGTTTATATATCAAAGTAATTTTATTTCAAGTTAACATTTTAAGAAATTTTCTTACTCGAATGTAAAGAAGGCAATAATTTTATTAAAGCCAGATCAGCCAGTACATTCTCATCTTTTCTTTTTTTAATACTTTTTTTTGCGTACATGTTTAATTGGTTAATAGTGACTTTTTTTATAGTCGACCATCTTGTGCGAAAAGTGTTACATTTGCTTTCACTTTGCAGTAGTTTAAAATCCTCTTCAATCTATTAAAGAAGAATATTTTTTAAAAAGCGAATAAAATTTCAGAAATGGAAATGTATAGTTGAACTTTGCACTTACCAATTTTAGGGCATGTTGTGTTTTTAAACAGGGGAATTTATCAAGATATTCCTTAACAGACAGTTTATTTTCAGAAAGTAAATTCTTTCTATTGATAAAACAAGTAATCCAATCTTGGAGAAGAGTATCTTCGTTTAAACCTTTTTCTAGATTGCTTAGAGCTTCTTTCCTAAGTTCATCGCCTGCAAAGAATTTTTTTATATAAATATTTTCGAAATACTTTACCTTGTGATAAAGTAAAAATAAAATTATTCCTAAAAAATGAGTGTAAATAAAATTAAATATATATTAAACATACTAGGAGTCAAAGGCGAAGTAATTCCTTCTGTTGATGATTGTTTTAGTCTAGGAGGTTCCAAAATGCCTTTTTTTCTTAAAACGCTTACAGTGTATTGATAATTACACCAAAGAGCCCCACAAGTTTGAAATGTTTTGCCATTTTCAAATTTATAAGGAGAAAAGTAAGTACACTCCGCTTCTCCTGGGAAAGTTTTCTTAATAATTTTCGAAATTTCCCCAAACATTTTTGTCGAAATGCTGATTAAAATAAAATATGTTTATTAAAAATTAATTCTAATTAATAATATTAAAATTACATGTAAATTAACTCACAAAAATTTATTCAGCTTTTGCCCAACTTGAATCGTTTTTAAAGCATCGTCTCTAAATTTTCTAATAATTGTCCTGACTAAAATTCCTCGAGTTTCTTTGTCCAGAAACTTGTGCCTTTTAAAATGACCAAATACTATTTTTCCATCGAGATCATTTTTCAAAAAGGAAATCAAATTCTAAAACATAATAATGTTAATATAAAATAATATAAATAATTAAGCTAATTATATGTTATTACATTTGAATTATCTTTTTGAATCAACAGAAATTGTATACAACTTACACTGGCAAATTTTTCGGGTTCTTTTTCAAGTAAATCTTGAGTTGTATTTGTACTATTATTTTTATTATTGAAGACATATTCGGAAGTCTCCACAAATTCATTCACATCAAGAAATTCGAAGTTTGTTTCACTTTTAGGGACGTTAGTTTCATCACTAGTTGAAGAGACTGAATTTTGTTGTCCACATATTGATTCCTAAAAATTAATTGAATATTATAAATCATTAGAAATAATTTATAATATATAGATAATAAAACTTTAAAATATATGGTTAAATTAATATAATGGCTTTCTATTGAGAGTAAATATTTTAATTTCGAAACTTATTTGGAAAGCTGTCGGCTTACCTCGTTGTAATTTTGACAAACTGAAGAAATTCGATAATTGAATTTTGATTTCATCTAGTTAAAATAAATTAAAATTTGTACATAATTCTAACGTGTCTGATACATATAAACTTCTAATTTTTATTTATTTTACTTACTTAAGTTATATAATTATCCTTTCTGCACAAAACCACATACACTATGTGACACATAATTATTTTGAAGCACATTTATTTTCGTTCGTACACTTTAATAGTAGGAGTGAATTTGGCAATTGTCAATCTTCCACGAAGCTATCGTTCGCAAAGTATTAATAGTGTCCGATATTGAATTTCTAAACCGAAAATTTTACTTCTTCACACCGATACTTGTTGCTGCTATTTTAAGGACCTTTTCTTATTTGGTATGTTAGTATTTCCCACCGATTATTTCATTTTATGTTCCCTTCAATATTTTTAAATAGAATTGTTTTACATTTATTTAAATAGGCAGACTACGATAAATTACTTGTCTTAAATATTAATAGAGACATATTTTAATATTTCTAAGTCACTATATTAAATTTTCTTTTCTTTTGCTATAGTGAGTCTTCATATTGAAATTTCAAGTTTCATTAATTTCTAAATGTACTCTGAATCGCCTCCTTTTAAATTCGACTATATGAAAATGTTCCCTTATTTTTATCAAGTTTTGAAATAAAATGTCTTTCCGTGTATTGAATAGATATTTTTTCAGTGTCAAAAACTATATATGATTTAAATATTTATATTCTTTTTTAAAGAGTCAACTAAAAATAAAGTTGATAATTACTTTTTTCGAATTTTTTACTAATGGATAGGTTTCATCAAATTCGGTTTGATGACATTTTCGTAGATGTCGTCTGATTCCGGTCGTATTACTCGCAGTCATTTTGAATGTTTTGTTAATTGGTGGTTTTTGTGCTAAGCATAATTTGCATTTGCCCCATTTGACACCATATTCATCGAAATTAAATTCAAATGATTCATCAAGTTCTCTGCCAAATCGTTTTCTACCTTTGGGATTAACTTTCGTTTCTTCTTGAGAATTTCTATATTTATTGAAACAAACTCAGGATAAATTAATGAGAAATTGAAAAATATTTTTACTTTTATGCATAAATTGTTAATATACACTGAAAATTGCATGATTCTTTGTTTTTTGGCTTATTTTTTTTCTTTATGCAATTTTATTCACGTGCTCTCTAAAACTAAATCAGTGAAATTTGTCTGATTTTCAATAACTATATTCTCGCGATTTCAATCAGGGAAAAATGACTGATATTTCAATCATAACTGTTTTTCAGTGAAATTTCACTGATTGAAATCGTGAGAAAAGATGAGTCACTAAAAATCAGTCAGATTTCACTGATCTTCAGTGGAATATTACTGATTCAGATTTAGAGAGATACAGATTTGTTTGTTGTCATCTTAATTTTTTTGTGAATGAAAATAAGAAAGATGTCTGATAAGTTTTGATTCAGTTAAAAATAGAAGAAGCAAGACGGGAAATGATATAAAAATAGATCGAAAATTACGCAAGGCTATCTCGTATCGATATGCATCACTACTTATCCAATTTTCGAATTTACCATTAATTTCTTGGTTAGAAAATTCTATTTTTTTTTTAAATTTTATGTAAATTGATAAATGGAAAAAAATATTTTATATTCTTTTAATTATCGAATTTTTTGTGACTCTTTTGTAATTAAAAAGAAACTTACTCCCAATCTTTAAGAACTTCGCCAGGCTTTGCACATTTTAGTGCCTCATCTTTTTCCCTTTGTACTAATAAATGGACCAGTGTCCTCCGAGCAGATGGTGTCAAACTGTTGTTCTTTTCGTATATCGTTAAAATGCCTTTTCCATCAGTGTCGTTTTGAAGATAAGTTAAAAGCTCCTGTTTGTAAAAATATTTTTATATTACACCCAATAGAAAGCAATTTTAGTAATTTAAACAAAATTAAATTTTACTTTATATGTATTTATTTTTATTTTATTTATAAAATAAGTTTATTTACTGTTTTATTTTTTCCATTCTACCTATTCTTTTCTCTTTTTTTCATTATTCCTTTAAGACTTATTTCTTACAAAGTATCTACTTCGGATATTATGAAATTTACTTCAGAAAGAACGATTTTTAATAGCTTTTACTATTTTCACAGTTAATTATTGAAAAAATTTTTTTTTTATTTTCTTTGAACGTAGTGCGAATTGTTAATAAACATTACCTATTATTTTCAGAGTAAATTTCTCTAATTCTGAAGAAAATTTGTCTAATTTTTATAAAGACATTTTCTTTGGAAATAGTAAAAGTTATTCTGGAAATAACAATTTATAATATAGCAAATTTTACTAATTTTGGAGGAAGTTTTACTACTTTTTACTGAAACTTACTTTGGATGTAGTAAAATTCATGGAATTTAATGTAAAAGTAGCGTTCTAACAAAAAATTCGATTGAAAAATTTTAAAAAAAAAATCGTAGACTATGAATAAAAATGTAAAAATATCAATAATAAACGGATAAAATACAACAAAAAATCTGAGAAACTGCAATTCAGAGAAAAAGTTAAAATTCTTAAAAAAAACTGAATCCCCTCTTTAAAAATTAAAATCCCCTTTGTTACCTATAAACATAACTATGATCTCTATTTATTTAATTATAAATATTTCTCTTAAAAATATAATTTATTATTCTTTTTAAGAATTTTAGCATTTTAAAAAATTCGTGTTTCCTTTAAATAATAATAAATTACGTTATAATTTTATACTGTATAAAATTGAGCGCAAAGTTTTAAAATGTACAATACTTTTTTGGAGCAATGTAATTTTTTGTTTACTATATTTTATTAATATTAAAAAAATTTATAATACTCTCTAAATTTGAATTATTAAAAATGTTTACTAAATTTGAATTACTGACTGCCTTTTTGCTTTTGAATTAGTAAATTTAACTAATTAATAATAGACAATAACTAACTAATAAATAATGACTGATTTATTTGTAAAATTTACTGATTCAAAAGCAAAAAGTCAGTCACTAATTCAAATTAGTTAACATTTTTACTAATTCAAATTTAGAGAGTATATTATAGGTGTTATAGTATTAGGTATATTATTAAAGAAAAATTTACCTTATCATACTTTGATTCTCCTTTGGTGAGTTCTTGATTTCTGGTAGCTTGATAAGATATCTTTAATGGAAAAATAAAGTATTTTTTTTAATAAAATAAAATATTAATTAAAAATAATTAAACAGTTGATTAAGTTTCAGTTACTAGACTGTGGATATTTTCAAGAGGTCAGATCGCATCCTAATTTTAATAATTTATTTACAAAGAAATATTTTGTAAAAAAGTGAATATGGTAGTTTTCTTTAAAATAATCGAATTTTTAATTAATAAATATTGCAAAATTGTTTTACAATTACAAAATAAATGCCCTGACTATTTGCTATACGTAAGGTGAGAAACAGATTTTTACTTTTTTTGCATAGAAAATTTCCGTTACGTCAAAACTTTTGGGTAGGAAAGACAGGAATTTCAGAAAGGTAGGAGGGACAGTCAATACACTCGAACCTTAGAAATTTAGACTGTCATCATTTACAGAACAGTCAACTTCGGTTTCCAGTGTTTTTCAGTATTTCAAAGTTAATTCAAATAAATAAATACACGAAAAAAATAAATGACTTGTTGAGTTATTACAAATTTTTAATGTATCAATTTTCCAAAATACAAAAGTATAAAGTATGTAACGCGTAATATTTTTTATAGAAGTTTTTATAGAACAGGTGTTTTCTTAAAGAAAACTTAGATAGAAAAGAAAATTTTGTTTAACTATAGAAAAATTATTTTTTAAGAACAAAAAATCTGTCGAGTAATTTTACACGTGTTTTTCACATTTTACGCATATTCTCGCTGTATGCTCCTTGCACATATTTGACCGACAGCGAATACAAAAGAATCGTGTTTTTCGATTATACGACGCAGGACATATTTGACAATTTTTCCTCTTGTCCAACACATTGGAAATTACTTCATCACTTGCAAAATCATCATCTGGTCTCTCATTAGGCGATAAAAATTCGAGAATTGTTTTTCTCAATGATAGTCTCAGTGTGGGTAGTGTTAAACGATGTTGTAGCAATGGCTTGACAAGTGTTAGGGACAAATTGAAAATGAAATTACGCCTTTGAACGAGACTATTTGCCGAACATAGAGAATACAATATAAAAGCATTCACGTTACTCTGATCGAGAATAAAGTACAATATTCGCATGGACCATCTTGCGGTTTTACGCGTTACACTGTATTCCGTTGATTTTTTATCGAATTTATCACTATTATTCTTGGCATTTTCATAGGCGAGGACTATTTCGGGCTTTCTCTCTGTCTCATTCATTTTGCCGATTGTATGCAATGACGAGAGGTAGACAGAAATTTTTTTCCTTTTCGGATTATAGGAGACAAGTGTCATATTATCGTTGTAACAAAATTGCGAATTTGATTTATCGACTGGAACTTTTCTGCAGCAAGGTGGTACTTCTGGTTTACTTTTACGTAAATTGCCAATCATTGTTAAATTATATTCGTCTCGCATTTTACGTGCAAGTAAAACAGATGTAAACCAATTGTCTGTCGTGACATTGCGATCGGTATGATAAATGGATTCACATAATTTACTCATGTAAAGTGATGGTACATTCTCGATAGGATCTTGATTTGCTACTGGTATGTAAGGAACTGCGTTGAACATATACTGAGTCAATGAATCATTAATGGTAAAAATTTTCAAACCGTACCTATGCATTCTTGACGGTATGTGAGTTTTAAAGGCACAATTTCCACGAAATTTTAATAATTGCTCCTTTATTATGCAATCACTGCTTGGCTCATAGTATGCATTGCAGTTATTTAGAAAAAGTTCCCAAACATCACGAATGTTGGTGAATTTATCATTCTGACGACGCTCTTCGCGAGTGTTTTTATCATCGAATCGTATGCACATGGATAGATATTCATATCTACGTCGTGACATGGTTGCACGAAATAATGGTAGACCATGAATGGACCATAAATCAAGAATGTTGTTGATATTGAATAGTGAAGTGTAGTAGAGTAGACCGATATAAGCTTTCATTTCGAGTAAATCAATTTGTTTGTGGTAACTCAAATCTTTTGTGTCGGTGCTACCGCGATGACGACTGATTTCCTCGTTGGTGTGTTTTACCATAATGTTCAAAATTTCATCAGACAATAAGAGTGACCAGGCTTCAATGGGTGATCTTACTTCGAGTGCTGGTCCTTTTGGCGATGACTCGTAATTTTGTTTGTTCAGGTTTGTTTCTTTTAAATGCGGTGGCTTTTTCGACCAAATGTAACCATGTTTTGTACGCAAATATGATGCTAGAGAGCGTTTTTTCCTTGGTTCGAAATTCTCGTCATTGGCGTCTTTCACGTCATCCTCTTCCTCTTCTTCTTCCTCATCATCATTTTCACTGGAAGCTTCATCCTCGGATGAATTACCCATTGTATAGTTTTCCTCTAGAACATCATCGATATCAGCTTCTGAGTCACTTGCGTTATCTTCAAATTCATAATCCGGCTCTGCGAATGTCTCAGTCAATTGGGCGGCTCGACGAACAGACGATGAAAATTTCTAGATCATTAAAAAAAACAAATAACACTAAAATAACAGTAAAATTTACACTAGAAGGAGACTTAGGTTAGTTGACACTGTTTTTTCAACATTTTTATTTATCAATTTTTGGCAATTTAGTTCCTAAATTTTTTCAGCTCTATAATATTACTATTTCCCTTTATATTATAACTAGAAGATTTGGAGCAAAACTGATCATTCAAATCAACGTTAAATAATTTCTCATAATTTTTTTTTTTATCTATTTGTAATTTTCAGTAAAACAAAAATGATGTTAGCTTGATGTAATATTCGATCAAAACTCGTAAACTTTGAGCTTGAGCGACTCTTTCCGTTAATTCAGGATTTCTTATCATAAAAGATCTGGACCAATTCAAATCAGCTGCTTGATTTTGATTCCAGAAATTTGGCCTCTTTAGCTTATAGGCAAGAGTCAATTCAAATGCTAATCTTCTCATTTCCATGGTGGAGAGTTCGAAATAAATATCCCAACATGCTATCAAGTATTTTACTAATTTTTTCTCTTGCGAATTGGTAAAAAATTTGTTGTGCGCTGTATAACCCATTGTAGTTAGTGCCGCTGAATCATTTTCATTGGAATTCTCTCTTTTTTTCTTGTTACTGACATTAAAATTATTTTCTCTGACAAAATTCTTTTCACAGGAAAATTAATATGAAAGTTTACGGAAAATGAGTAAAATTTATGAAATTTAATAATTTCTAAAAATTACAGTTATAACCCTTCCTGAATTCAATTATTTTGAAAGTTCTTCAAAAATTAAATTATTTAAATACCAAAATTCAATTTTTTATAATAATTGTAACTGTCCATGTTTTTTTCTTAAGTTTATTAAGGTATAATATTTTCAAAAAAAAAAAAAAATAATTAAATTTTAGAAGAATTTTAATTACAAATATGACCATGATTTCTCCAAAATTTTAATAAACCAAAAAAAGTAAATTTTTATTTACTTTATTCAAAGATAATTACATCTTAAAAAATTATGATAAAAAAAATCGAAGAATTAAGTAGTTTTTAAAAATATTTTAATGTAATTTTTCGAAACCAATTGAATTTCTCAAAAGTGTTTCTGTAATATTTAAAAAAAACTAATTAATTTCTTGATAAATTTTAATTAAATATTTTGAACATGATTTTTCTCTCCAAAATGTTAAAAATAATTCTAAAATGTTGTTATTTTTTGTATGTATTTGAATTCGGAAATATGTAATTGAAAGTACTGAAAATACTAAATTTGAAAAAATTAGAACCTAATTTTCATTAATTTTCATTTTTAAATTTACGTTTAAAGATTTTTCATTAAAAGTTTTGATAATTCAATTATTTTGAAAATTTACAATTAAAATTCTTCAAAAGTTGATTTTCAAAAATTCCAACAAAATACTTTTAAAAAATTAATTATTTTCAATTAAATTTTACAAAATTTCAATTATTCAAAATCTTTTTAATTGTATATTTCGAAAATTTAAATAGAAAAATGATTCAAAAATAATTTTTGAAAGATTTGTTTACCTATAGTTATTTTTTGCACTATAAAAATCGAAATGAGTTACATTTAATACTAAAAAATATGATATTTTGTTGCAATACTTGAAAAAACAGTCGAGAAAGTCGCAATTTTTAAAAATAAGTGAAAAAAATCTAAATTTTCTAAATTTCCCTGACAAAAAATTTTTTTTCCTGACATTTCCCTGACTTTACTGACTAAAATTTTTTTTACTGACATTTCCCTGACTTTACTGACATGTGACCACCCTGGAATTAAATTTCTTTTAAAAAAGCGTTAGTTGACTCATTAATACTCACGCGGAAAGAATTTTTTTGCACGAAAATTCTATAGACTTATATTTCACCTGTGAGAATAATAGAGTTTTAAAAGAGCGAATTAATAATCAAAAATTACGTGCAAAATAGGCGTGAAGCATCTTCAAAGTAAGAGTTTATAAGAGATCGAGTGGTATAGGACTCAGTGCAGAACATTTAAAGAATCTTCAATAATAGTTTGAAATCTTTATAGATTTCTTAGTAATCAAGTTGATCTAGTAGAGGACTCAGTACCAAACTACAAAGAAATCAATTTTCTACAGTAACAATAGTAGAAAAATAAGAATTTACAGTCAATCTTTTTGTATTCACGACAGAAATTGCATTATTATCAAAACTAGAAATATAAATAAATAGCAAAGGTTTATAAAAGTAATAAAGAGTTTTATTTTTTTTTACAATGCTGCGTACGGTATTACTACAAAATAAATAGTACGCGTTAATATAAAAATAGTTTACATCTTGTCGAAAATATTTCAAAACTGAAGGAGCAGTACTGTTTATGCGCTAACAGATTTTTTTTATTTGTTTCTTTGTCAATATTCTTTATAGGAATTCTAAAAATATCGTTAATTAAATGCTTTCGTGTCGCCATACAATTAGGATATAATAAGTCTCTTCAATTCTCTATTAACAAAATATGTATTCATTGAGAAATATTATCTAACTTGCATCAAAAATAAATTCAATATCGCCCTTTAGGGTTTTTGCGCTTGAACTTAATGAATCCCCTGCGTTTTCAATAGTGAAGCCAACATTCTGGATGAACACCCATATATGACTAGCATACAATGGATATGAATAATTAAATATAAAAAACATTTTTAGAGAAAAATCTATAGCGTGCATTGGACTCTCAACACGATATTTACAACCGTCAGGAAGACCTGAATCAATATAAACGTAGGACTCATTAATTTTTTCTAAACTGCCGACAAATACAGGCAAAATTTTAACTGATAATGCATGTTTTTTAAGAAAGTTATTCCTCTTCTTTATTGCTTCGTCAATATCTGATGCAGTCTATAAAACAATTCAAAATTTTATATTTAACCTTAATTTTTTTGATTTATGATATTATAATTATTTGCAATAGTTTATTATGAATTTTAATAAATTAGATTTATATTACTTTTATTATAAAATGCTAAATTACTATAAATATATAACAATGAAAAGTATAATGGAAACAACTTACTTTAACCATTAAAAAAAAGTCGTCTCGTACTTCAGAATCAGATGATTTCTGTGTTGTTCTCAATAAATCCTTAGTTATAAGTTTTTTCTTTCTTCGAAGTTCTTCGTCTGTAGATTTTGTTATGCGACCTGGATTTTTTTGTTTTATAAGTGTCGAAAGAAGGAAGAAAATTACATAATCTTGTTTATCTGTAATGTGTAGTTTCGTTTATTTTCCAGGAATTTCTATCTATTTATTTCATGATTTATTATATCGAAAACAAATTATTCTTAAATAATTTTGCACTTACCAGAAGTAAAATACTCTAAATCTTCTATTAATTTCCTGTAAGGTCCTTTTTTGGGTTTTCTTGGTCCTTGAAGTAATTCTATAATTCTACTTCTAATAAGAGGCCACCTATTCAGAAAACTATCTGCCTTTTTGGGAATCAACAGCTTAAAATCAATTTGCAGCTGAAATTATTTAAGATATTTTGTTTACTTTAAGAAAACATGAAAGAAAATTCATTTCCTGCAAGTAGGAAATTCAAGATGTAGCATTTCTATTCTAGTTTTTCTTCTTAACATACCAATTCATAGCCAAATTCCTTTTGTAGACATTTGTATTTCTGATATATTAAGCTAGTTCTATTCTCTTCCTCATGAAATTCAGCTCTTCGAATTTCAAACGTTTGTTTCCAATAATCCAAAAGAACAGAAGTTAATTCAGTAGCTTTGCAAATAAATTCTAACAAACTCTCTTCCTTGTCTGTAAAAAAATTTAAATGTAGCTTTTTTCTCAAAAATCTCGAAGGTCTGAATATTTAGTAGATTTCGTAAATTCTCCTTTATATTGAAAAAAACTCTCAGTTGTTGTACAAAAATTTTGCTTACCAGTCGCTTTTCTAAAACCTGTTTCGAAATTGAGGGGATCCTTAACTTTTTTCAATGGTTCAATAACACCTGCGTCCATAAGTAAATTTCTTCTGTACGAAAAGTGAAGGTACAATTTTCCAGCAGCATTAATTCGAGTAGAAGTTCCATTTGCCTTTTTGATTGTTGTGAAAGGAGTAAAATATGTATCAAATATTTCGGTTGGAAATAACGTAACAACATCTGTCGCTAAATCGCGAAGTCTTTTGGTTTTTATGCTATTAAAATACAAATAGAATTTAAATTTATGAAATAAAACCCAATAGGATGTTTAAAAATGTTAATTTTTACACACCAAAATAGTGGAGGTTTGATATTTTTAGTATCGACATTGCCTTTCATGTGAGCATTGAATAAAATATCTTCTTCTCTTTTAATTATTTTATGAACAAGACATTCTCTTTGTTTAGACATTAAAATTCCCATTTTTTCGTAAGTTTTTAAAATTGCCAGTCCCTCGAAATCGGAACAAAGATAAGATTTCAATCCCTACACAAAATAAACAATAAATTTTTAGTATGTATCAAACAGATATGTTTATTATTTGAAAATTTAATTTAGAAAATTAACTCTAAAACTTACGGTAATATCAACTTGTTCTGAACTACTGTTTTCTGCATTCTCACTTTTTAAATTTGCTTGATCTTTATTAATTGATTTTTTATCTTCGGCAACTTGTTTAGTGTTTTTATTTACATTTTCTCCAACCAACGAACCAATAGCTACAAAAGACATGAAATATATATTATGTCATGTGGATTATTTGAAATGTCTTAAATTCTCTAGAGACGTACCATTTTTCGAATCAGGTGAAGTAGTCTCCAAATGAACCTCACTTTTAGGTATCTAAAAAGATATTTTTATCGCGATCATACACATACACTGTATATAAAATACTAGTAGGGTGAGAAAAAATTGTTTGTTAATTAAAATAAGGAACTATTTTAGTTCACTAAAATGATTCCTTAACAGTAGTAGACTGAGTCCTCAACTGTTTATCATTTAGCGTCATTTTACCGCACTTTTAGCATTAAATGAAAGTTTCTTTCCATTTTATTTATCTTTTTATTACTTTTTTGTAATAAAATAACCATTTTTTGAGTTTTTCTTTAGTGTCAACCAAACCCTAACAGTGTCAACTGACCCTAACATCTCCTGAAGTAATATTAAATAAATTAAGGTGAATTCGCAACAAAATTAATTTTTATTAATATTAATAAATGTAACGCTCTCCGAAGAAAGGTATCAAAGAAGCAAAAAATTTTAGGCTATGTTTGTAATTTTTTGAAAGAATAGGGTTGCTAAAGGTTAAGGAATTCAGAGAAATTAAAATTAGTCAGGGAAATTAGGGAAAAGTCAAAGATTTTTATTAAAATATTATTAGAATTTATAAGAAAATTATGAATTTTTTTGTCTTTTTTGTTTGCCTCATAAACTATGAAACTGCCAAGAATTCTAATACAAAACGTTCAATTTTTTTTCTATTTCTCCCAATAATTTCTTTTTAAATAACTCAATTCTTGAAGAACTATCATAAAATTATTACTTGTAAATTATTTAATGAATAATTTTACTTGAAAATTTCAAAATTAATTGGATTTCAAAAGAGTTGCGTTTACAGTCTTCATAAATAGATTAACTTCAAAGGTTTCAATTTGAAATTTTAGACAATTTCAATTTTTAATGAATTTAAATATAGAAATTTTAAGAACAACTAATTACAGAAATTCAATTATTTTCAAAAGTGATAAACTTCTTCGCATAAATTCAATTATGTTAAAAAACTTAAGAAAATTCTCGTCAAAATTTCAATTATCTTTATAATTAAGAAAATTAATAAATAATAATATAAACTTCTCCGAAATTCAGTTATTTTCAAAATATTTAATAAAATTCTTGGCAAAATTCCAATCAATTACACAATTTTTCCTCATTTCCATTATTTTTAATATCTACTATTTTAATAAAATTTTCCAAAAGCATTCAATTATTTAAACAAAATTTAAATAAAAATTTCATAGGAATTCAATTGCCAATTTTTTTTTTTTTAAATTTGAATAAAATTCTTCGCAAGAAATCAATTATTTTCATAAATAATACAATTTTCTTGAGAATTTATAAAATGCTTTATAAATTTGAAAAATTATAATAAAATTGATCATAGAATTCAATTATTATTGTAAAAAATAAAATTCTTCGATTCAATTCAATTATTTAAGAAATTTTAATAATTTTATTCCCAAGAATTCAATTATTTTCAAAAATAAACATTTTCACAGGAATTCAATTATTAAAAAGAATTTTAATGAACTTTCTCGATGGAATTTAATTATTTTTAAAAAGTTTTAAAAAATTCTGAGAAAATCAATTATGTAAAAAAATTTGAGTAAAATTCGTCACAAGAAATTAATTATTTTCATGAATAATAATATTTTTCTCCGGAATTCAATTATCTTTACAAATAAAATTCTTTACTGAAATTGAATTCTTAAAAAAAAATTTTTAATAAAATTCGTTGCAAGAATTCAATTATTTTTATAAATAACAAAACTTATCGCAGAATTTCAATTATTTTTTATACAATTTTAAATAAAATGATAGAGAATTACATTTATTCTTAAACTTTTTTTTTAAAATTCGTCGAACGATTTTAATTTTTTTCAAAAATTTTGATAAAATTCTTCAGAAAAATTCAGTTTTTAAGAAACAGTCGAAGACTTGAAGTGATCATTTTCTTCATGTTTTATAATAATATTCTCATAAGTTATTGAATTTCAGAAGGTAGGAATTTGAATGTTTTGAAGAATTTTAATTCGTACGGAAAAATAATATTCATTAAATATATTTATTTAAAAATGAATTTTACAATTAAAGAAATTCGTAAATAAATTTAGTCGGAACATTTTTCTGAGTATCTAATAATTTTTGGAGTGAATCAGAATATTCTCCAGGGTTAGGAAAAAGCCATGAAAAATTTACATGACCGTATACGATCTATCGACTAAATTAATCAGAAACTTTTAATTAAAGTAAAGATGACACAAACAGAAACTTAAAATTATTTGCTTTTTGTTTCTTTGGAGCACGTCACAATTATATTTATATTTTTTAATAAATTAATAAAATGTTATCAGTTTAATTAAAAAATGTTTGAATAAATAATTTAAAGCAATATTTACCTGCAATATTTTGTACTTGAAAACACTTTTTATCACACTGTCACTAGACTGGGTATGCAACACTTTAACGTAACATTTCAACATTCACAATTCCGTAATGAGATGTAGTAATAATCCTTAAGATTATTTATTATAATTATAATAATTAATTCATTCATTAACTTAAGCTAAGACGTGAAAAAACATAATTCCCGATATTTTTCCTGTTTTTTATTTATACTGTATGTAGATTAGTTTTTAGTTTTCGGGTATACCACACACAGTCTAGTAACTGAGTGTAAATTGCAATAAAATTTAGGCAAAATAAAAATTTTCTTGTTAAAATTTACCTTATCATTCCTTTGACAAGTGGAGGCACCCGTTGATGTTGTGGGTTTTTCTGCTATCGATGGAAAGTTATTGGTTGTGAGTGTAATTGGATCTTGTTCCTCAAAGAACAGACCATCTTGAACCCAAAATGACTGAAAATTGATTAATTAAAATGTGTATTTAATTATGTTTTTAAAAATAGGACAAATAGTTTGAAAGTTTTTTTTACAGAAATGGATAATTGTTTTAGTCTCTTACTATTTTTTTTTCTTAATATAGAAATTTTGTTATACTTTTAGCTTTTTATTTTGTTTTTTTCCACTTATTGAAATTTTAAATAATATTATGCTTTAAACTAATAATTTTTTAAGATAAAAGAGGATTGTAAATCTCTACTCAGGGTGGTCGCAAAATTTTATTTTCAAAATTCCCTGACTTTTCCCTGACTAATTTTTGATTTTCCCTGACTAAAAAATTTTTGAATTATTTAATATTCTACATTAAAATAGCCGTAAGAAGGTCCAAACTTATAAAAAATGTGACGGCACCATTATAATGAGCTATATTATAAAAACGGCTAAATAAAAACTGAATTGACATTTAAGTATCAAAGTTTTTTAATTCGTGGTTTCTTTCGATCAAAATTCCCTGACTTTTAAAGAATTTTTAAAAATTCCCTGACTTTTCCCTGATTTCCAGTTTTTCCCTGACTTGCGGCCACCCTGTCTACAAACTAATTGATTCAAGAATATTTTGAAATATTTGAAATAATCATTTTCAAAAAAATAAACTCCTTTTTTTATTTTATAATTCTAATTTAACAGCATGTGACTCTTAGAAATTCAATGGCAATCTTTTCGACCACTTTTCTCTTTAAATATTTAATAAATTGAGATGAGAAATTTTGTAAGAAAGTCTAAAATATAATAAAGAAGGGCAGTGATGTGCAAAAGTTTTAATAATTCAAAAATAAATTATAATAAAACATTTTTAAATAGGTAAAGACGAGAAATTGATTAGAAGTTACCGTGACAACTAATAATTTTAAAATAATTTGTAATAGTTAATTTTAAAAATATTAAAACTTTTGCACATCACTGACCTTCTTTATTGTATTTTAGACTTTCGTACAAAATTTAAACTCAATTTATTATTTTAAGTATTTAAAGAGAAAAGTGGTCGAAAAAATTACCATTGAGAACCGAACAATCACATGCTGTTAACTAATTTGGTTCAGAAAATTATTTACTACTTTGGCAATTAATATAACAAATAATTTGAATTAAGGAAATTCTTCTTTCTGTTAGTGTCTTTGATATTAAGATAACAAATTATTTATTTATAGAAAACTTACATCCTCCAGAGGATTCTGGTTTTGAAGATTTCTTTCGCTGCTGTTTCCCGTATTTTTATTTGCTTCACAGTTATCTTCTGCATTATTTTCATTTGATTTTTCGATACAATTGTCCTCATCAATTTCGACTTCTTCTTCCTGAAATAAAATAGTTTTAATAAACAAATGTAATTATTTAGTACTTTGTTAAATGAATTTTATATTTTCAAATCCAATTTTAACAACTATTTTTGTTATTATTATTATTATTATTATAAAATAATAATTAATTTTAGTACTTTATCAGTTAAATTTTATTTCCCAAGTAAAGTCGTATTAACATAATTTATTTACCTTTATGAGAACCTCTTCAGTCCGTTGTTTTTTTAATGCTACCTCATTTTCTTCTAAAACCCCATTTGATTCATCATCCTAAAAAAAAGAAATTTTTTTAAAAATAATTTTAAACAATGCAATTGTACTTAATGAATTACTAATTAGGAATAATTAAGTACATGCATTAATAAACATCACTGTACTTAATTCAAAATTTTTAAATTATTTTTTTTTCTAATGAACTTTTAAAAAGAAATTAAAATATTACAGTAATTTTAGTAATTTCTTTGTTACAATTTTTTGTTTTTTTAATTTACCTCAAGTTCTCTTTTTATCGTTGTTCCCTCGTCTTGAAACATTTTATGCGGTTTAATGTAAAAATTACATTTAAATCTGAAAAACAATTAAATAACACAATTACATAATATTAACAAATTAATATTTAAATGTCTAATCTATGAATTAACCGGCCGGTGTGAATAAAGAAATTTTGTTACGGCCCTGGTACTATTCCTGTTGAAATTTGTAAAGGTTGTGTACACATTTTATTGCAAATTTTGATTTTAGTTGTTGTAAGAAGAGAAATTAGTTAATTTCAACAAATAATTTTTATTTTTTATTAACATTCAAAGAGAGAAAATTAAACTAAGGTACTAGAATTTACTTTATCCGTTATTTTCCACTATAGTATGTATATTTTTTGTTTGATATAGGTTTGAAAATGAATTGCAATACTTTACCTTTTGTTATTAACAAAATGTTGAATAATTATAAACTGGAGACGTTTAACTTATTAAACTTGGTTTTTGTTTATTTAACTACACTTCAAGGCAACAATAATAGCGTCAAACTTTTTGAGAATATACAACACGTTTTAGCACGTTTACGAACTGATGCTCAGCACACTCACACACTGCCTACTATAACAAAAATCATTGAGTTTTCGTGCACTGTCGGAGATATTCGTAAGCGATCGGGAGCCATTCCTATAGCAAATCCAATTTCTCACACAGCTTTTTGTAGAAAGTTACTGTGCCTCATTGTAGAACAATAAAATTTACAGTTCAAAAATTTTCTGAAATGTTATTAAGTTGAATTTTTATTTTATATATCATTTTTTATCATTAGAATTTTTGTGTTAACTAATTAGTATATATTAGAATTTAAAATATAATAATAAGTGGGTAGAGTTTGGGATTTCTGTATTATCCCTGAGGGATATAATATGCTGCTTGCTGTAGGTAAAGCAGATGTTGACTGGAATTCAAATTAAACTCAATCTTGCAAATATTTATAAAATTTTTATGGAATTTAAGAATAAAATTTATTATCATAATTGTGCTTTTTAAAAATTATTAACTCTTAAGATAAGAGTTTTTCCTTGAAAGAAAAGTAATGAAACTTATTTTCGCTTATATATTATTATTATTTACAGTTTAGAGTTTACTTTAATTTTTTTATTATACAAATAAAGAGTTATTTTTGCAAGAAAGAAAATGTCGGATCTAATATGGTTTCTTCTATTGAAAATTAATTTTTCTTTGATTCAAAGAAAGATTATATTAGCTTAAAAAAATATATATTGTTTAAAAATAATTTATTTGTATATCAAAGAAATTTTCCTTTTCAAATTAAGGAATTATTTCTTTTGATCCTACTGATAAAAATATCTTTAATTTAAAGAAAAAATTTCTTGGATTCAAAGAAAATTTTTTTAAATCAAAGAAGTTTTCTTTGAATCAAAAACGCTCTTTGTGTTTGAAAGAAAAAATTATTTTTTATAAAATACAAAGAAGAAACTGATATCTTTAAATCAACAAACATTTTTTTCTGGGTGTAATATTTGTGCTCTGAAGTCTATACGTCACAAAGAAAAATATTGAGTAATTTTTACTATTTACAAAATTAAACCAAAACTGAAACTTCTGCGCATTTTTGTCAACTTATTTTACTATATTTTCAAAGTAAAATTTTGCTACACTCGAAGTATATTATACCAACGATAACATAAACATTTTGCTTTCTCTTTGCAATATACAAATAAAGAATTTTTTTAAAATCGTGATTAAAAAATTGGAATTATGCAAATTTTTTTTGACTTATTAAAGAAACTTGATATTTTGTTAAAAACTGTGATGAATGGAAGTTATGTAAATTTTTTAAATAATTTCGTTTAAAATCTTAATTAACAAATAGAAATTATGGAAATGCTCTTACTTTTTTTCGAAAAGAAATTTAATATGTTCTAAAAAATGTGATTCATAAAAATCTTTTTCCTTCATTTCTAAAAAACTTCGAATTTTGTTAAAAAATTTTAATTGAGGAATAGAAATAGTGCAAATTACTTGCTTTTTAAAAATAACAGAACTTTGTTAAGAAATCGTGATTAGAAATAGGAATATTGCAAAATTTTTTATTCTCTTTCTGAAAAAAAACTCATCATTTAGTATTAGTTATAGCAAAATAAGATTTCAAATCGATAAATGTCCAAAGGGGCCGTTCAAAAAATACGTAACGCTTTAGGGGGGAGGGGGGGTAATTTGTTACGGTCAGCAGAAAAAATGGCGCTAATGTATACAACATTGCGTTACATGGGGGAGGGGGGGTCTAAATTTCCGAAAAATAGCGTTACGTATTTTTTGAACGGCCCCAAATAATTAAAAATTGATTTCGTAAATTTTAAAATGGAGTTCTAGAATTCTAAATTTTTTACAACAATTGTGATTATTAAATAGACATTATAAAATTTTTCATTTTTTAAAAAAAAATTAATATATTTCGTTAAAATTGCGTAATTAACAAATAAAAATTTTTCCAATGGAAACTGAAAATTCTCTGAAATGATGCAAATTATTATTTTCATTTTTCAAAGAAAAACAGCTTTTGTTAAAAAATTGTGATTAGAAATGGCAATTTTGTGAAGATAATTGCGATTGAGAAACAGAAAATATGGAAAATATTTTCTATGCCCTAATCTTAATTTTTTAACAATTTTCTAATTTTTTTTAAATAAGATAAGAAAAGAGAGCTGCTTAATTTTGATTTGCAAAACAAATAAGTTTTTTATATACTAAAAAAATGAAAATTTTTTGAATGATTTCTCTATTTAATGACAATTTATTAACAATATTCGAGACTTCGATTTCTTTGCTAAAAAAATTTCTGGCTAAAACAACTTATTCGAGAGTTCAAATATTGTCTGCAATAATTCAAATTAAGCAAAATGATTTAAATATAATTATACAAAAATTTGTCATTCTTTTATTTTAAAACACTAAAATGTATTAAATTTACAATTCAAACAATTTTTCTGCTCAATAAAGAAAAGTAAGTCCATACTTTTGACATTAAAATCAGTTTCCTGGCCTGAAATTAAGCCACTATTGGATGAATATCAATTATTTGAACTGAAGTTGGGTTTAAAACAAAAAACATATTTTTATAGTGAAGGCTAATTTATTATTAACTGTTTAGTTAAATATATAATTTCGATTACTTGAACGTTTTGGTTTCTTTACACAAATTAACCCCTTCGCAGTCTAGTTGAAAATCGCTTGTGGTCCAAAAACGGTCCGAAAAAAAAGTTTACAAAAAAATATGATTTCATCATATATAAGGTTTTTGGGGTCGCTGAATTCGAATTTGAGGTTAGTTTTTGAAAATTCAAAATGGCGGATCCAATATGGCGACCAAATATGGTGGATAATTTTAAAATTAAAGAGTTTTAAGGGAAATTCATTTCTCGGGGGTTTTCGAGGTCGCTGAATCCAAATCTGAAGTCAGATTTAAAAAATTCAAAATGGCGGACCCAAAATGGCGATTTCAAAAAAAAATTTTTTTTCAGATGTTCTTAAAACTCGTTACTCGGGGGTTTTCGGGGTCTCTGATTACAAATATGATGTCATATTTTCAAAATTCAAAATGGCGGATCCAATATGGCGGATGATTTCAAGATTGATGCGAAAAAAATATGAAGTTACCTCAAAAACCCCTGAGTAAACATTTTAGACAAATTTGTCAACATTCAAAAAATTTGATCGACATATTGAATCCACAATTTAGCATTTAGAAAAACGAACATCAAATTCGAATACAGTGACCCCAAAAAACCCCGGGAACCGAATTTCGATCGAAACGCATAAATTTTGAAACTATCCGCCATATTGGATCTAACATTTTGAATTTTGTAAAACGAACATCAAATTCAAATTCAGCGACCCCAAAAACCCCTGAGAAACGAATTTTAATCCAATCGCATCAATCTTGAAATTATCCGCCATATTGGATCCGCCATTTTGAATTTTGAAAATCTGACCTGATATTTGTAATCAGAGACCCCGAAAACCCCCCAAGTAACGAGTTTAAAGCGAATTTGAAATTTTTTTATTTTTTGAAGTCGACATTTTGAGTCCGCCATTTTGAATTTTTTAAATCTGACTTCAGATTCGGATTCAGCGACCCCAAAAACAGTAGTATGTACTTCGCTACTAAAATCAAATCATGTTTAGTATTTTTTTTTTGAGATGGCCATATATGGCCACAGACGCGAAGGTGGCACGACTTTTCGTGGCCATATATGGGCCATGGACTGTTAAGGGGTTAAAGAATTCAGTAAATCAAAAAACTTTAATTTTTTCCAAATTCTTGAATTTTGAGAACTTTGAAGTGTTTTCCATTCTTGAGTCGAATCAAAGATGAACAGATATCTAAAACTCAAGAATTTGAAAGTTTTTTTTGAAATGTTTGACTTTTGGAATTTAATGAACTTATTGGTGTGAGTATTTCTCAAACAAAATGGCTTAAACTCTCAAAAATTTTTATCGAAAAAACTGAAGCGTGAAACGACTTTTAAATAATTTTGTACATGCCCTAAAATATTTATTAATTCACCGAAATGATCTTAAATTGAAAATAAATTATAATTCAAAGAAACAATTTAGAAAACTTTTTAAAAAATTTATTTAAGAAAGAGAAAACGCAAAAGTGATTATTTTCATCGCGCTTATTTTCTCGTTTTCTCATTCTCAAAAGACGTCATACAAAAAGTAGATAAATAATCAGCCATCATCATGATAAGCGTGGGAAGTTTAAAAAAAAAATTCAATGAATCCATACTTTGTGGAGGTCTAAAATCTGCGGTCAACACCCCGCCAATATACACTCCTTTCCGATCTAGAATCACGTTCTATTATCGGATGATAAAGTGGGGCTTTAAAAGCTACTGACATCCAAAGTTCATACTCTCTCTCACTCACTATGAATTCAGCCAGTTGACACGCTTTCCGTGCTTGAAAGCTCACACCAAGCCCACTCTTATTGGCCAAGAGGGACATCAACCTCCATTCGGATTGGTTACAGGGCGAGGCTTGCGTATCACCGAAAGCTCACCGTTAACTACCAAAACGCCGGTTACCCCAAGAACCAGTGCTCCAAAGCTCCTCCTACCTTCCCAATCGTCCAAGCACATAAAGCGAGACATCTTCTCGCTTCTTATTTTATAAACCCAAACACATGACAAAGATAGATGCACTCTCATGCTGAAGAGAGTGAGTGGTATGTAGGTTAGATAACCCTCTTTGCCATACGAATAAGAGAACGGAAAGAGAATTCTTGATGAGTTTTGAGACGAGAGGATGTCATCATTGGTTGGGAGAGAAAATTTGATGAAAGAAGATGTGGGGGGGGGTTTTGGGTAGAGCGCAACCACCAGAGGCAGACAGTGTCGCGAGCGTCAAACGGGAGGGAATCGACACTTTTTCAATGAGGGTGGACTGGGGAAGAGGGGACACACATGAAACCCTTCGGGTCATGTGCGTCAGAGGAAGACACTAAACTATAACCATATTCTCGAATCGGGGGCGGAGTGGCGCACTAATTCGAAAAATAAGTCTCAGATGCGCGACAAGCACACTTGACCGAAGCACTTCTCATCAGAAGGGTCCCAACTGGCAAAGAGTTGTTACATCACAATTATTAACCACCTTCAATCACAAAACCCTTTTCGTCAATAAATTATCCTCATCTTTATTTTACATCCTGAACATTTTACCATCTCAGAATTTTACGTTTTTAATATTTTACCATCCTTAAGTTTTAAGTCCTTAATATTTTATCATCTCTAAATTTTACCATCTCTATATTTTGCCCTCCAATATTTTACCATCTCTATATTTTACCATCTTAATATTTTACCTCTTTATTATTTTTCCATATCAATATTTTACTCTCTGAATATTCTACCATCTCCAGATTGTACCCTTTCCATATTTCAACATCTCAATATTTTACCCTTTGAATATTCCGCCACCTCAATATTTTTCCATCTCAGTATTTTGCTATATCGTAAAAATGGCTAAATACCGTTAACTCTCTTGCCAAAAATAATTTCCCAATCGTGTTTTTGCGCCTGTGATACAAAACAATTAGAACAAATTAGCGGAAAAAAACAAACACTATAGGAAAAAAGTGTTCGTTCGTTTCGTAAAATAAGTGTGCGGACAATGTTAAAGTGAGTGAATGAATAAATGTTCTCCAAGGATTAACAAACGAAAATGGATCAAACAGAGAAGATGGAAATTTCCGATAATGCAAAGGCTTCACAATCAGTTCAACCGACTCCGTTTAGTATAGCGGATATATTAAGTAAGAGCACTAATGGTCTTGCAGAAAGACGACACTCCACCTGTGAAAATAATCGTGAATTTCTCAAGTCAAATGATGATGGACATGAGACAACAACGAGACAAATTGAATGTGCTAATAGTGAGCAAGATGTTCATATTTCACGTTTCTCATCATCGCGACTATCGAGTCCTGATCTCAATATGGCTAGAGAATTAGAGATCTTGAGGCGAAATATTGTTCACGCGAATTTAACGAATTTTGGTACACTACCTACGCAAATTAATCATACGAATTTTAAACACGTGGACACTATGGGTAATGTTGTACCTTATACGGAAAGTAAGGAAGCGAGATTTGGACAGAGGCAGCAGGATGAGGCTCTTGATATGAGTAAAAGTAAATATCTCGGTATGTAGCATTTCAATTTTAATTTCAATTAATTATTTGAGATTTATTTTAATTTTCAATTTCAATTAATTACTTGAGATTAATGTAAATTGAAGTAGTTAAAATTATTAGACAAATAAATGCTAAAAGAAACTCTTATTTTGAGGGAAGAAAGAGGTTTTTTTTAAGTGGTAACATCACAGAAAATTTTGTTAGCTATCTCTCTAAATCTGAATTAGAAGAATTCTACTAAAAAATAGTTAAATTTTACTGATTGTTTGTAAAATTCTACTAAAAATTATTTAAATTCTACTATACTGGAAAAAAATTTATTTGATTCAAATAACCGATTAAGTGACTATTATCAATTAAATATTTACTTGAATCATGTAATATTTATTGAAATCAATTAAATGGTATTTGAACTAATAATTTCAGTATTTGAAGCAAATACCATTTATTAATTGATTCCAATAAATATTATTTGATTCAACTAAATTCAGTTAAATGGTATTTGAACCAATAATTTTAGTATATATTTGAAGCAAATACCATTTATTAATTGACTCCAATAAATATTATTTGATTCAATTAAATATTTAATTGATAATAATCAATTAATCGGTTATTTGAATCAAATAAATTTTTTTTCAGTATAACAATTAGTATAAAATATCACTGATTGTCATAATAAAATTACTACTAAATTATTTGGTGGACGACTTTTCATCATTTTATTAGTATAACTTTCTATTAAATTCAGATTTATAGATATTAAAATACACTGTAAAAATAAATCTTAGTTTTAGTTTACCTTTGACTAAAACCTATTGTTGACTGAATTTTAGCCTTATGATTAGCACATTTTAATCCAATTGGTTATATTTTTTGTTGTATTTTTAAAACTTCATTGATTTTCTATAAGCAGATACGATACAAAGTCTAAAACTGTGTTTTTTGCATCTTAAAATCAAAATTATTGAAAAGTAGTCTATTTTTGAGTTTAAAATTATAGAATAAGTCAATTTTAGGACCTTTCAAGGCTAAAACTCAGTCAAAAACGGTTCTAATGTGAGCGATTTTAGTCAAAAAATGATCAGAAAGTAATATTTATTTATTGCAATGCAGAATGGTAGAACTGTTGGTGTGCTTAATTTAAGACAATTTTATTTTATAACCATTAACTTTATATCAATTTCAAAGCTATTATTAAATTAAGTCACAAATGTCTGAATTTCACGTTCTTGATTATAAATATTTTTATTTCTCACAAATTAATATTTAAATCAAGACTAAACTGACCTTTAAGATTAAAGTACTTTCAGTATAATCTTAAAATAAGATTTTCTTTTAAGAGCGTGTGTGTATTTAATTATCCAATGTGACCTCTGAATTTTTAGGAAAAATTTTAGATGTACTGAATTTATGATAATTATTTGACAAAGCCTTCAAGTAGGTAATGAGTTTAAGGATATTAGTTGTACTTAGAAGCATTTTTAAGGGGATATCAAAGTCGTTGCGATTTTTATATTGAGCTTCAATGAGAAAATCACATTGACTTTGACTTCTCCTTTTAAGAAGGTGTTTTGTTAAGATAATAATAAAAAAGATCTGAATTTTACTGTTTTAAATTTAGACCTGTAAATATCTTATTTTCATACAAGTTTGAATTTAAATAAAGAACAGCCTTATTTTTAAGACTATGACTTAATTTTTTAAGGAATCATTAGATTCCGTTCTTAGTTTTCTTCTATTTTTTGTAAAAACACATGAACTTAAAAGTTGTCTTTTACTGTTGTGTTTTATTTTAGTGTGTTGTATCTTACTTTAATGTTACCAAAATTGTTTAAATGAAGCTGTAATTGGATTGAAATAATAATAAATACAGTAATAATAGTAACGAATAATAATCATAAATATCAATAAATAAATTCTTTCAATTCAGCATAGTTTCTATTTAGCATTTTCTGTTTCAAATTAGCTTTTAATTTTGTTCCTTTTTAAAAAATTTTTTAATCAGATTTATGTTACCGTTTTTTTACACTATTTGTGAACTGAATGTATAAGAATAAGGTAAATTGTGGTTTAAGTCTTGTATGTCTTAAAAGTAAAACATTGGTTCTAATTTAGAAAAAAACATGAAAACACCCTCATAAGTCAGAATTTATACATTTGAGCATAGAATCTTGATATTAATTCATAATTATATTAATTTAGTTCTAAATAAAGAAAATTGTGATCTATTAAAATTAAGATTCAACGCTCTCTTATTTTATAACTCACTCTCTAAATCGTAATAAGATAAAATTGTAACTGAATTGAATCAGTGACAAACTTTTCGCTTTCAAAACAGTTAAAATTAGCTGATTTCTCAGTATAAATTTTTTCTACTAATGAATCAGTAAATAAGAATAACTGATTCAAAAGCAAAAAATTCAGACACTGATTTAAAATAAGTTAGATGAATTTTAACTACTTCAGATTTAGAGGGCATTTTTATTTTAATTACATGTATATAATTCATTCTACACATTTTAATTTATTTAAAAATTATTTGAATCTATTTTCGTTTGACTTTGATTATTAAAAAATAATCGTTGGTAAAATAAAAAAATTGCATCTTGGTTTAATAACTTGGAATTTTCTCTGACATTATAAACGCACTTTATGAGACAAAATGATAAGTGGAAACTTTGATGATGATAATAAAACGCAGACAATTTTAAGTATATATTGTGCGAGCGTGAAAAACAAGAAAACATTGAATTAATAGGTCATTCGGGGTATTATATCCGGCACAACAGACTGAATTTTCAAGGGTTTTATATAGTTAAACCGAGAACAGATAACGTAATTGAATGTAATTTTAGTAGCATAAGTGGCACTTGACGGGGCAGACGTCACAAGTGCCCGCTACTCCACTTCTTGCACTTGTTCGACTGCTGGCAGCAAAAGCTTCTTCGACTTTTAATAATTTATAAAGTTTCACAAAAGCTCTGCACGGAAATGATATTCACACATTTTCAATGCGAATTCAACACAGATTCAGCTTCTATACTTAAAAGTTACTTTCCAATTTCAGAGAATTATTTCTCCTATAATTCTCTATTCTACCCCTCTATATTTCTTCCCTAATGTACAGAAATTTTTGAAAGTATATATTTCCATTATTAGGGTTAGTAATTTAGCTAAGTTTTTCAGGGTTGTCACGCATCCGGAAAACCGGAAAACCTGGAAAAGTCAGGGAATTTTGGTCAAAATCCTGAAAAATTGTTGTTTTCTAGAGCGTTGTGTTTATTCTTGAAATTTAATTTTACTTAAATATTTCCAAATTAATTCTATTTAAAAAAAGTTGCGTTTACAATTTTCATAAGTAGATGAACAAAATTTCAATTATTATCATTAATAACATTTTTTACAGGGATTCAATTATTTTCATAAATAAATATTAAAACTAATCGCAGACTTTTAATTATTTTTAATACAATTTTAATGAAATTCCTCGAAAAATGTAATTATTCTTAAAAATTTTATCAAAATTTATCAAAGAAATTCAATTATTTTAAAAGCCTTTGCTACAATTTATTTATTACAATATAAATGTTATTTTCAATACATGTTTAATTACATTTCTTCAAATAAATAAATTATTTTCATAAATTTTAATGAAATTCTTTGTAACAATTCAATTTTTTTCAAAATAATTTTAATAAAGCTCTTCGTAGAAATTTAATTAATTTAAAAAATTCGTCAAAATTAAATTATTTTCAATGTCTACTATTTGAAAAAAATTTCACAAAAGAATTCAATTGTTTAAAAAGAAATTTTAATAAAATTCGTCTCAAGAATTAAATTATTTTTAAAAGTAATATAATTCTTCGCAAAAATCCAATTATGTTCAGAAATTTCCAAAAATTCTCGTCAAAGTTTCAATTATCTTTATAAATAATATAATTTTTCTCCGAAATTCAATTATTTTCAAAAATTTTAATAAAATTCTCGGCAGAATTTCAATTATTTTTAATACAATTTCCATCAAATTTCTCGAAAAATGAAATTATTCTTAAAACTTTTATTAAAATTTGTTAAAAGAATTCAATTATTTAAAAATTTGTTGATAAAATTCTTTATGAGAGTTAAATTTTAAAAAACATTCAATTATTTAATAAAATATTTATTTTTATAGTTATAAATAATTGAATTCTCGTAGAATTTTCTAATAAATATTGATTTAAAAATGAATTTCAGTTAAAATTTTATATTATAATTATTTTTGAATATTGAAAGCATCATAGCGTGGATTTTTAGAAATAATTAAATTTTCAAAAGGTTTCAAATTAAAATCTTTGAAAATTTAGACCTTTTCATACTTTTAATTAAGAATTCTGTAGAATTAATTTTTTTCAAAAAGTTTAATGGAATTTTTATTTGATTATTTAAAGTTTTTAATTTCTAAAATATTTAATTGAAGAGGTTCAGAATAATCAAAATTTCGTAAAATTAAATTGTAAACAAAAGAATTTAAAAATTCTGAAAGAACTTTTCCAAAAATTATTTTTATAAAATGGACTTAATGAAGAATTTTAGTAGAAAATTCCAGTAATAAATAATCGTAATGATGAAAATAATTTTTAAAGAAGTTACAGTAACAAAGTAGCATAAGTTTTAATTATTATATGTTATTGAATTAAAAATTTTTGAAAATCTTAATTTCTATGAAAAAATAGTGATTATTTATTTTATTATAAAATATTGATATTTTCGAATAATTTTCGTTTTAAAAACCTGGAAATATTCCGTTTTTTAACCTGGAAAACCTGGAAAAGTCAGGGAATTTGAAAAGAGCAAAAGCTTGGCAACCCTGATAAAACGAATTCTATTTGAAATTCCTACACCTTCTATGCCTTTATGTCATTAACTATTACGATCGCTCTACTTCCGCTTAAGTATGAGTATAATATGGGGAAGATATAGAATTACTTTTCTCGGGTAAAGTTCTTCTATTTCAGCAAACACAATCTTCTCACTAATCTCAACAAAAATCAATTAAACTTAAACAACACTATAATAAATCGAAAAGGGAGATCGACTCTCATGTATACCTCCATATATATATTTCGAAAAAATTGAAAATCTCGTTGCTTACTTAAGTAATTTTTACGAATTCTTATTATTGCAAAAACTTCGAACTTATTTTTAAAAAATGTCGATCTCTTATTTATCTAAATCATTATTCTGATGTTCTTCAATTAGTCAAATTTGACTATTTCCTTATTTACTAATAATTAGTTATTCTCTACCAAAATAGTTATAGTTACTTTTTACTAATTACTGATGCAAAAAAGTCGGACAGGATTTTACTAATAGTTATGTTTAACCAATTCAGATTTAGAGAGTCAAAAATTACAGAGAGGAAAGTATAAAGATTTGTCGAAAAACGAGGAATGAATCTACAATTGAAAAAAAAGAATACTGGCAGGAATCGAAAGCAATGAAATTAAACCTGTAATTAACTAATGCGTTCTCACCCACTGTCGTTTACAACGTAATAGCGTTTTTGTGGCAGTACGTGAGTTGGAACGTGCTGGCACCGATTCAAAGGTGCACTCATGGAAAATTGCTAGTCCTCTTTTTTACATCCTCCTCTAATCTTCTTTCTTCTTCTCTATCACGTATATACGTATATTCGCACATACACGATTTAAATTTATACTTTGTCGATATAATATCCCCCAATGAAACTAATAGAACCGCCAATAAAACTGCAAATGTACCTATGATAATGTGAATTATAAATGCATTATGTCAAGTATATTCTATTTCTGAAAATATGACGTTAACTGACGTTACAAATATAGCCGCATTAGTAATCAAACCATGATACAACGAAACTGTTTACTTCAATTTTTTTTCAATCACTTGTCAAATGTTGAAACAATTTTACTCTCTCAAAATTTATAAAGTATTGCAAAAAATGAAAATCTTGAAATCTTCTCTCTGAATTTGAATTTCAGGAATCACAGTCTTTTTAATGATATCAAATTGAGACAAAAAACGAATCAAAACGTTTTGCTTCGCAACATTTTTTATTCGTTTTTGTCTAAATTTGATAATCTTAGAAAAACTGAGCTAAAAAAATTGCGTTAAAATATCACAAATTAAAGTAAATTAAAAATTAAAACTAATTTCCACCTGCGAACGCCAGAGTCACCGCTAGATGTCAGTTCAGTTGATAAAACTCGATTTCTCGCCACCTAGTGACAATCTTGGCGTTCTCAAGTGGAGAAATTAAACCACCATTTTATCCTTTTTTATAATTAAGAAAATTATATTGTGGAAATAATTTAAATTCTTTTCTTAGTGCACATTTATAACGCTTTTTATTTGAATAAAAATAATAAATTTTTGTCAATGATAAATATATCTTTTAAAATATTAAAATTTAAATTCTTAGGCTTCGGGCAAAACGAACTTAAAATTTAATTTGTTTTATTCTTTTGAAGTTTAGAATTATGACATTTGGCTAATTTTTGTTTCGATTGTTTGACAAATTCTTTCTAAAATTGAATCCTGTTTTATAAAATTGCAATCCTTTTTTTTAAACTATTAATAGCCAATTATGAAAAAATTAATGTGATCCTTGGAATTAGTGGAAATTTCAACTTATGGAAAACCTGGGAAACATGGAATTGTCATGAGATTTTATTTTGATTCATGGAATCATGGAAATCTCATGGAATTTTTTTAGTTTTTGTTGTGGACCCGTGTGTGATTGAAATTCGCGCTCCTTTATTACTCAGGGTTGTCACAAGTTTTAGTTTTTCAATTTCCCTGACAATTTACGGAAAATGAGTAAAATTTATGAATTTTAATAATTTCTAAAAATTACAATTATAACTCTTCCTGAATTTAATTATTTTCTACAATTTTCAACTAAACTTCATCTCTGAATTAATTAATTTAAATAATTTTCCAAAAGTTCTTCTAGAATTCAATTATTTAAATACATCTTAAAAAATTATTACATAACAATTCTAATAATTAGTTTTTAAAAATATTTTAGTAATGTAATTTTTCGAAAATAATTATATTTTTAAAAGAATTTTTGTGTAATTTAAAAAAACTATAATCAATTTTTTGATGAATTTTAATTAAAAATTTGGAACATTATTGTTTTCTTCAAAATGTTAAAAATAATTCTAAAATGTTATTATTTTTGGAAATATGTAATTGAAAATATTGAATTTTAAAAAATTAGAAGCTAATTTTTATTTTTAAATTTACCTTTAAAAATTTGCAATTAAAATTCTTCCAAAGCTGCTTTTTAAAAATTGTAACAAAATACTGGAAATAAATTAATTATTTCCAATTAAATTTTACAAAATTTTAACTATTCAAAAACAATTTTTGAAAGATTTGTTTATAGTTATTTTTTGCATTATAAAAATCAAAATAAGTTGCATTTTTTTCCTAAAAATTGTGGTATTTTGTTGCAATGTTTGGAAGGAAAGTCGAAAAAGTAGTAATTTTTTGAAAATAAGTCGCAAAAGTCTCAATTTTCTTAATTTCCCTGACAAAAAATTGTTTTCATGACATTTACCTGACTTAACTGACAAAAATTTTGTTTTAACGTGTCATGGAAATTTTATCATTTATCACCTGGAAATCATGGGAAAATCATGGAATTTTTTACTGACAGAATTTTTGCTTTTGAAACAGTTAAGATTTTCTGATTTATTATTAAAAAAAATTTCTACTGATAAATCAATAAATTTCACTTGCATTTTATTTTTCAAATCAATTCAGATTTATAAATTAATCAGTAAAAAATTTTCTACAGATAAATCAGTAAATTTTAACTGATTTGAAAGCAAAGAGTGACAGATTCAAATGGATTGAAATTTTATTAGCTATACTTTAGATTTAGAGAGTTGGTTAGGAAAAATTGTAACTAATTTAAAATACGGATTGTTTTGCAGTGAATTAAAAAAAATAAACTGTCAAATGTGCAATAGTAAATTCTAATTTTCTAAATCTGGCATTAAAAAAATTTTTAATTCGAATAATTCTAACTTCTTATATAGTAAATTGATAAAATTTTCCAATTTATCAATTATTATTATTGTTAAATAATTCACAGAATCCGATATTTCTATATAATGCCACTTGTAATTATAAAAGATCGACGAGGGGAGTAAGTCATAATAAGTATGTGTGTTTAGAGGGGAAAAGTTATTTGATTACATTCATTGACGAAGTGAAACCCCTTCTTTGAGTTAATGCACTGGACCCTAAAATGATCCTTAAACATATATTACCCGGTGTCAAGATTTACAGAAGTGGAAAATCTCTTTTATCACTTTCTATATAAACTAGTGAACCAAATTTACATCATTTTTTTCAAGACCATTAAAAATGTATTTTAACACTTTTTTATTCACTCAAAAATTTTATATGAAGATAAACATAAACATATTTTTTTAATAATAACTTAGAAACTTAATTAGTCCATAAAGTTACAAAATGTCTCACACATTCATTTTTTTCGACTTCAGGAAACTTGTGTTTTTGGTTGTCTCTGATTTTTTACACTTTTATGATATTTTAGTAATAAATTATCTTAAAAGGATAGAATAGAATTAAAATGTTTCTTCAAAGGGTCTTTATTTTTTAAATAAATAAATAAAATGCAGTGAAAGATTTATAATTTGTGCGTTTGATGAAAAAACGAGTGAAAAAGAAAATATGTAGGAAGAAAATTAGCGACGGGACATCAAAAGGCACTGTTTGCTAGTTTCAAATATCTGGTACAGAATTTTTTTTTATTCATTGGTCCATTGGTAATATACACATTCTTTGTAAAATGCTTTCAAGTTCAAAAAAACTATAAAAGAATTCTTTTAATAAAATTTAGAAGAGATTGAAATAAAATCAAAAATTATTTATTAAATATTTCTCTCGGCAATTCAAAAATATTTCGACACTCGATTTGTATTTTCAATATTATTTGCATAGATGATATAGAGGAGGACATTTACGAATCACAATCTCATGGTTCGAGTCTTCAGGGACGAAAAAAGCGAAGTAGAGCTGCATTTTCACACGCTCAAGTTTACGAGCTCGAAAGAAGATTCGCTGCTCAAAAGTATCTTTCCGGACCAGAAAGAGCGGATCTAGCACGCGGTCTTAAACTCACCGAGACGCAAGTCAAAATTTGGTTTCAAAATCGACGGTAATTTTTCAATTTTTGTCCATTTGCCAATACCATTTCATTGTACCAAAAAAATTAATTAAAAATTTAAAATCCAAAAATACAAATAAAATATTAAATTAAAAAGAAAAAAAGTCTGAATTTAAACCAAAAGCTAAAAATTTTTAACTTAAAAGTATCAAATTGAAACGAATTGATACCAAAAATGTGAATCAAATCAAAAATTGATTTAAATTTTTTGTATCAATTTGATACTTTCGTGAAAAAAAAATCTGCAAAAATTGAATCGAAATATAAAATGAAAAATAAATTTTGAAATTTCTTTTACACGCAGATATAAAACCAAGAGACGACAACAGCAGGAACTTGGAACTTTGGTAAATTCGGGAACCGCGAGACGTGTGGCTGTGAGAGTGTTGGTACATCCGGACGAGCATTTGAGAGGATTACCACTTCGTGGTTCCGGACAAATTCCGGGACATCTCACGGGACCACAAATTCATCCCGCGAATAAAGCCATCAATGGTTTCCCGTATTATTGTCTGCCCTATCATCCACTTTTGTGTTCGCCACTGCATTCACCCCAAATTCAAGTTCAAACAACAATTCCCCTAATGGAACACGAATCTCGAGACACGCGAATATCAAAGATAGATAATCAAAAGTAAAAAAATGTTAATAAAAGAAAAATAAATAATAAAGAAATAAGATTCTCGAAAATTTCCAGCAAATCTTCTTTATAAATTCTTAGATATAATAAATCTCTGCGTGTAATTTGTCATCGTGTTTTAAAAAAAAATCTATGAAAAATTGATAAAATCGCGGGGAAAAGGAATAAAGTAACTTTTTATTATTTTTGTGTTTCTGCGCTTTTTTTATTTTTACTATTTGTAGGGTAAATTTTACTAGTTCGAAAATACATTTTTGGTAAATTTATTAAATGAATAAATTTAATTTATAAATTTAATAAATTTGAATTTTAAAACTACTTTGGAAATAGTAAAAATTGACACTGTAAATCTGAGTTAATGAAAATTGAGCCAATTTAAAATAAAAGTGACTATTTTTGGTTTCTCTAATTTTTAGTAATCTTTTATTACTTTGTTTAGTTTTAATATTCACTAAAATTGTAGTAAAATATTACTAAAAAATAGTAATTCTCTCTAAATTCAAATTTAATAAAAATAACTAATTGGCTAGTGAAAAGTCAGTCACTAATTTAAATGTAATATTTTTGGTATTTAAATATAGTCAATAATTACAAATTATTAGTTAAATTCACTTTTATTATATCAAAGTAACTGAAATTTTTTGTAACTTATTCAATTAGTCAAATTTGACTATTTTCTTATTTATTTATTTTTTATTAATTGTTGTTTACTAATTTAAATTGGAATTCTTTTACTAATTCATTTCTAAATTACTAATGCAAAAAATTTGCCTAGATTTTACTTAACATTAGTTATTTTTAACTAATTCCGATTAAGAAAGTTGGTTAGTAATTTTAATTTTTTTTTTACTAAAGATTTACTTTTTAAATTTAAATTAGTAAAAATGTTTACTAATTGAAATTAGTGACGGACTTTTTGCTTCTGAGTTAGTAAATTTTAATAATTCACTAAATCAAATTTAGAAAAAAAGAAGTGCGCAGAGATTACAGACAGTTTAGATTTTTTTTTTAAAATATTGAAAGTTACATAATATTCATTTTTTTCTGCGATTTTTTGAATTCTAAATTGTGGACAAAATATAATTTATTTAAAAATCTAGTGAATTGGCCCCAAAAACTTAGAATTGTTCATAATAAGATTTTTTTCTTAATTGCAAAATATTTTCTTTTTCAATAATCGAGAGAAGAATTACTGTAAAAATAAATAATAGAAAATAATTACTGTACTTTAAAACAGATTCCTTTTTTTTTTCTTGAAAGAATTTTAAAACGGAAATGAAACGCAAACATTTATTAGCTTTGCTAATGGTAAAACATGGCAACCTGACATTTAGAAATTGAAAGACGTCTTGATTTTTTCTCTCCGGCGCCACCTACTTTGAGTTAGTCCCCATCGGGTTTCACTAAAAAACAAGGATCCGACTACCTTCCCGTCACTTTCGACGTTAAACTGTCACGATGTCAAAAGGGGAAATTGGAGCGATGACGTGTAAAGAAAAAGAAATATTTCATTCACCCTCAACACAAAATAGCATAATACGAATAATATATGCGTCGAGTTTGTCAATATTCTACCAAAAAAGAAAGAAACTAAAAATAATTTTTGTGTTAATTGTTCGAAATGAAATTTAAACAATACCTGATTAGAATATTATTCGAATCAAAAAAATTGTAGAAAGTGCAATAAAAAAATTTTCCAAAGCTTTTACATTGTTATTGTAGTTTTTTATTATTATGAACTAGTTCTTTAAATGCTAATAAGTGAAAATTTATTCAAATAAATACTAATAATAAATATTGTTATTTGAATATTACTTTATTTATTAATATTAGAAATCAATATTAATTAAAAATAATTTATTAATTAGTTTAATATTAATTTTATTACTAAGAAAAATGTTAATTTCTCAAGTAGTAATGAAAAATATAAATTTCACGAATTAAAAATTAAAAAAAAAAATTAAAATTATTTCAAAATTTATAATATTGATAATTAATACTAATTAATATCAATTACTAATTAATTAATAATTAATTTGTAATTAATTGACTTTTCACTTATTCGGATTTAAAGATTTTATTTCGGGTTAAATATATATGTATGAAATATACGTCGATTAGGTGAAACGTAAATTATAAGTGTGAAATAAAATTACCAGAATCACGTAAATATTTATTAGACGAAGCAACCGTGTAAATTAGAGTGTAAATAAATGTATAAAATATAAATCGAATGTTACCTGGAAGATATTTTCTTTATTTTACCCTCTCGTTGTTATTTTTTTTTACCAAAAAAAGGAGTAATTATTTTCACCACAGTTTTTTCGTTAAAAATTTTGAAATACTCTCTAAATCTGAATCAGCGAAATTTCACTGATTCTCAGCGATAAGTATGCCACTATTTCAATTAGCGTATATGCGCTAATTAATCAGTGAAGTTTCACTGATTATTTAGTGAAATTTCACTAATTCACAGCGCATATACGCTAATTGAAATAGTGGCATACTTATCGCTGAGAATCAGTGAAATTTCGCTGATTCAGATTTAGAGAGTACAGTGGAACCTCTTGACTTGGACATGATATCTAAAGTTCTCCGGTTCCAGTATACCAATAGCAGAAATATTCCATAAAAAAATGTTGAAATTAATAAAATTAAATTTTTTTTTGTCTAAACAGAAATTTATTTATTTGGCATAAATTTCCTTACAATTTTTTATTATTAATCCTTATTTATTTTTATTATTTTATAGAAAAAAATATGAAATAAAATATTTAATCCGTTAATCACTTATGTTTTATTACTTTACTACACCGAATCATAAAATTGAATCTCATGGCAAATCGTGAGAGAATTTTTTATTTTTATTGTATATACTAAAACAATCCTCTTGGGAGTCAAAAGTATCATAAAAAGTAACTTTAAACATTGTGTTTTAAATGGTATATTGAGTATATACTGTATATGAAATAATGACACTCGTGAAAGAGTATATATAATGTATGTGTGTGTGTAAGGAGCAATTTTTCGTTAACGAGAACAAGAGATGACGATTTGCCGCGCACCACGAAGAGAAGTTTAAAGTTTTTTCCCATAAGTGTTTTAATAGTTCCATTTGGGTGGGCCGGACAGACACAAGATATGTTTATTCAGACGCGGAGACTTGCTGGCTTAACCGTCTCTTATGAAAAACGCCAAAGAACCGACACTCATCCGTTACAAACAAAAGAGTTACTTTAACCCCAGTCTGACTAACGTTCACCCCCATTTTTGATTCGCGGTAATATATCATTTTATTGCGAATCACTGTTGTCGAAATGCGCGACAATTTCCGTTATTTGAAACTGATGAAAATGTTCTGATAGGGCGTTTAAAAAATAATAATAGTAATGACAACAACAATAATAATAATAATAATAACTACTTTTCTCAAACATTTTTCAAACATTAGCGTTTTTTTTTACTTTGCGTTTTATTTTGATTTAAACAGATGATTTTATTCTCTAGTGTTAAAAAGACTGTTTTAGTTCTATTTTACTTCCTAGAGGTAGGAAAGAAAAATTTACTCTTTAGGTTAAAATAGCATTTCGCTCCTTACTGTTGAAAACTTGTTTTCCCCTAACAGTTTAAATGGATTTCCGCTTAAAATTCAGATTGTTAATTTTACTCTCTCGTGTTTAAAAGGCATTTTTTCTCTAGAGCTTAAAACGACTATTTTACTCCTAGTGTTAGAAAAGATTTAATTATTTCTTAGTGACTCTTTAGAAGTAAAAAAACATATATTTTTCTCTAGAGTTTAAAACGCCTACTATTTTACTTCTAGTATAGAAAAAAATAAAATTCTTAGTATATATAGATATAAACTGCTTTACTCATCAGAAGATAGAAAGCCTCTTTAATCTTTTTGATCGTTGAAGTAAAAAGGTATTTTATTCCCTAGTGTGGAAAATATCAATTTTGCCCTCTAGAGTTTAAAAACACATTTTTTCCTTCAATTAAAAACGCGTATTTTGCAAACATTCATTTAGTATCGAAATTGACTGCTTTACTCCCTAGAAGGAAAAAAAGCCTCTTTAGTTTCCAGAGTAGAAAAGTATTTTCAATCCCTAGTGTGGGAAATATCAATTTTTTCCTCTAGAGTTTGAAAACACACATTTTTCCCTCGAACTCAAAGACAACTCAATGGAACAAATTTTTCCCCAATTTTCAAAATTTGCACATCAACATTATCTCAAAATATAAAATACGTGGGAAATGTTCATCGCTTGAAAAAAATGTTTTTAATGACTTTTTTTTACTCTCATAAATATAAAGTTATTACAGTATTAAAGAAGATGGAAAGGAGAAAAAAACGAAAACAGATGGATCTTTAATCGCATATCAAATATATAGTATTGAAGCATAAATAATTTTTTTTCTCATAAGATTCCTCTTTGAAATTGATTCTCGTAAGCGCCTCTCGATTTTTTTTTCTTGCGAGCGCATATATATTGGAAGGGAAATATTTTATAGGCGCTTCTGCAGTCCATTATCGTTTTGTTTATAACAATTCATAAACAGACTAAAGCCGTAATACTCTTCTTTCGAACCAGACACTGCATACTGTTTGACAGTAAAGATACTTACTTGTTCGGAAACATGATTTAATGACTTGTGGTTTTCGTATCTTGCATTCCTCACGATTTCAAGTATTATTGAGAATAATTCTATTTGGCTAAATTTAATTTTAACGCGAAAATTACTAATTCCTGTTGAGAATAAGCATTGCGGAAACAAAGGGAAAAGAAATATCTTTCGAAAATATTACTTATTTTTTATTTTCTCACAATATTTCCAGTTAAGTTATTAATTAGCTAAAATTAATAAATTAGCTAGTATTATTTTTTTTCGCAATAATATTGATGGTAATTACTTGGATTTGTTTTGGTGTTTTAGTTTTTTCTTTTTTTTTTGTTCGCGTTCTTTTTCGAAAACAAAAAGTTTATTGTATAATTGTCGGAATGAAGAGATTAAAAGGAGAATGGGTTGATCCTTTGAATCCTGCGAGGATCGTTAAGCATTTTAACTTGAATTCTCGCGTGATTCCATCTCCCGATAAACTTTGAGAATAACGTTGAATTTTGAAGCGCGCACGAAACGAATCGATCG